TCACAAGGAAGCGATAGACGTTCTTGATGCGCACGGGAAAAGTACCCAGCTCGCGTCCAAGCACGCCCACGAGGCGGTTGCCTGGCAGTGGAAGGTGGACATTCTGGAGCTCATCCGCTCAAGCCAGATGCAGCTTCGTGTCATAGCCGTCACCACCATGTGCACCCATCTCGTGGCCGTCTGGAAGCGACTTTGCGATGGAGGCGAAGAGTACAGCGCCGAGTTCCTCGATCACTTGGCTGGCTACTTGCTCAACACCGGCCTGATTGACTACATTCTGGGCGCAAGTTGCCATCAGAGATCATCGTCGAAAGCGCCAACATTGTCGGCTTCTTGGTGGTGGCGCGCATACCGCTCAGAGCACACCGACCGTGTGTGGCACGGCATCACCTCGAGCCAAGACCCGCGTGTGGTAGACGCCTTGACGCGTATGATGACCAACATTACCAACTTATTCGACTACGCTGGCTTGCTGCATCTCTGCAACAAGTTTCAGCCTTTGCCTGTGGAGGATTCTCACCTTCGATACGCCTTTTATTGGACAATGTCTTGGTGAAATGATGGCGAGCTCAGACAAACCAGTCGACGCTGACTTTCCATCCCTACAGGCTCTGCCTGCGCCTCCTCAGAGTCGTCTGTTTGTGCTTCGGGCTCTCAGGTCGCAGACCCCGACATGCAACAGGTCGCGATGCAAAAATCCAGGGTTGCTGGGCCACGGACCAGACGCTGAGGTCGGCGTGAGCTGTACCTGAGCTGCATCAATGACATATCCGCCAAGTCAGCCACCACGCTGGGCAGTCTGTGGTGCCTTTCCATAGCGATACGACATGCGACCGAGGGTCAGATGCAGGTCCTCACGGAGCAACATGACCTGGCCAAGCTCATTGTGGAGGAGCTGGAGCACGCAGGAATGCCGGACGATCGGCCGGCGTGTTTCCGGTTCTCTCTGGTACCTCGAATCAGCCAAGAAGAGACTTTGTGGCAAACCTCATCCAGCTCCAGCCGGCGGCGATTGACAACGACCTCGGCACAAAGCTTTGGAATATTCTTGTCGGGCCACAGTCAACCTGTGCAGAGGATCGAAAGGCCGGCTGGTACGTTATTCTGAGCGTGGCCAGGAAGGCGACTCTGCAGAATGCGTTCCTTCGGACGTGCTTTTCGGAGCATTTGCCGAGGCTGCCGGCCGGCTATTTCTGTGAAGGGATGCTCGAGTTCGTCAGGGCGAGTCCGTTTGCTCTTGGAGAGAACCCGCGCGACTTTGTCCTCGACGATGAGGCAATAGTTGCGCGGTATGGCATTGAACACCTGTGGAGAATCATGCTTGAAGCTCAAGACTCTGGTCTCGTCGCACAGGCCATCTCTATCTGGCCGTCGACGTCTATCTGGAAAGCAAAGCCATCATGTCGTATCCCTCCACCGGACACGGCAAGTACATCTTGCCTGGTCAACCGTTGCTTGCGTCAGATGAAAGACACCGCGAGCAAACTTCGGCGGTCGAGCGATGGAACCACCAGTGGCGACGACGAGCCAATGATCGTCGCCACGCCCGGGAGACCAAGCAGGGCTCATTTTCACCCGGTCTCTGCAGCTCCTGAGGTTTTCTTGGAAAAGTATCAGTCAAGCCAAAATTTGCTGTGGCCGACCTCCGATCCTTCATGTCCGAGACGCCCCAGCAGATTGAGGGTGACTCGGCCCGCCTCAGATATCAGTCGTTTGACGGCGACGAGCAAACAGACATTATGCCGTTGAGCATTGGCAAGCTGAATACGGTGTCGTCTCTGCTCGCAAGCCTTAGGCAGGAGACGGGCTTCGACAATTACCGCGTGTATTATCAGGCCACCAACTGCTTTTGGTAGAACAAGACATCAGCAAATCTCTACAAGAACTGGACATCCAGGATGGCTTCATGTTGGTGAAGCGAGAAGATAACTACTCGGCCTCGCCGGTCGGATAAAGCCGGGCTCGTTGCCGCTAGAAATCGAGATTTTGGCCCATTTTCCGGAGCTCTGGGACTACCTGAGCATGGACGAGCAAACAGCCGAGAGGTGGTGACCGGCGCAAACACCTGTACTTGACTCGATTCGCTGACTGGGTTTCAGATTTACGACTTCGTCATCAGGCTCCTGCGGATGGCTACATCTTGTCACGCTTCGACACTAACTCAACCTCGTACAAGGATCTTTTCTTCCAGGACAGCCGTTCAAGTCTCTGTATGCCATTCACGCGTTGTCAGAGTACATTGAGGTGCCTGCCGAGCTACTTCAGTGGTAACGGGTTCAACCCCGCAGAGAAGACCTGCAGTCATCTCAGGAAGCGGCTCTAAGAAGATCGCTGCATCTTGTGGTTCAGGCGCTGTCGGATCAGAGGTGCTTGAAGGAAGCGTGACACGGCTGCAGATCCGCGTCGTAAGCTCTCTGATGCAAAAGTTTGTCCAACTCGTCCAGGTACGTTTCACAGACCATCAATCTCGCGAGGCTTGGCTAACAGCATTCTAGGAGTCTGCGGCCCCGGACTATGGCCTGTGTCCGAAAAGTCGATTCTCCACACCTGAGCGTCTGATTGAAGTTCTCTCCGACGCTTTGGACTATCCGGACAACGGAGCTATCCCGCTCATAGCGAGCACGTGCAGTGCGATTCTGCTTGTTGGCAAGTTGGATGCGCGGTTTTGGATAAAGATCACGGAAAGCAACGATTTTCGTGGCCTCATCCAGAAGCTGGTGCTTTTCGAGCCAAGGAGGGAAGTGAGGGTTGCTGTTGTGGAACTGCTTGAGGTTTCCGCAGAGGCCGAAGCACAAGTCCCGCAAACGCAGCCCGCCAAGTTTGCGACGTCAGAGGTCAGGGAACCCTCTCTTTTGGCAAAATACCTCTGGCCCATCGTCTCAAACCTCCTCCCAGAGGCCGTGGAGCGTACAGCGCAGTGTGACGAGCTCTTTCGGCTTCTCAAGAAGCTGCTCTTGCTCATGTCGAATACGCTTCCCGGACAGTCTCAGTTTGACCAGCTAACAAGGCAGACGAACGAGCTCTTGCTTGAACATGATTCAACAGAGGTAAAGTGGTCTCACCTCAGGCTCAGGTTCATTTGCACTGACAAGCGCCTGACACAGGATGTGAGCCAGATTGAGGCCCGACCCCGTTGCCAACGGCCTGGCTTCGGTCTTGCACCTCTGTCTCAGATCGACGCCTCACTCCCGGCCTCGAGAGCACTTCCAGAGTGAGTCGAACCGGCTCCGAGCCCCTCATTATAGAACGTCGCTAACATAAATAGGGACACGGCGCGAGATTTGTTTTGGCGACACCTCTTTCCGCAAAAGCTCAGTCCAGGCGCCGATTCGGTCCGTCACGTCGTGCTGAACACGGAGACTCGAGCGAAGCTGTACGAGGTCATTTTCCGTCTTGTTGGACACGACGGCCGTCAGTTTGCCAGACCTTGCACCTACTCAACGAGCTGGTGCCTTTCTATTCTGAGGATACTGGTACGCTCAATTCACTTTGGCACATGCCTCCGTCTGCTTACGAGATTTCGCAAGACGACCCTACCTCTATGATCTTCCCTATCAGTTTGATCGCTCAAAGGCCATGCGCTCCCCTGCGGCTACGGCGGCCTGCGGAATCTTTCCAATACTTGCTACCTGAATTCCCTTCTCACGCAGCTGTACATGAACACGGAGTTCCGTCGCTTCATGCTGGGGCGTCGTGTCGAGGTCAACAAGCTCCAGCAGCTGCTCTTCCACACCCAAAGGTCTTTGGCTTCATGCAAGAGTTACCGCCGATATGTGGACCCCTCAAGCCTCGTCGGATCCATCAAGACCTACGAGGACACAGTCATCGACATCCACAGCCAGATGGACGTTGACGAGTTCTACAGCTTGCTTCGATCGATGGGAAGGGCAGATATCCCGTCCGAAGACAAACGAAGGCTCCGTTCGTTTTACGGCGGACAACTCGTGCAGCAAGTGAAATCCAAAAGTGCGAGCACATCTCGGAACGACTCGAGCCATTTCCGCCATCAATGCGACATCAAGGGCAAAGGTTGGAAGAGAGCCTACAGGCATATGTCGACAGGGAGATTATGGAAGGCGGTATGTTGGCCTGCTTCGATGCGCGTACCCGTCCGTTATTGACTTTTGATTCAGACAACAAGTACAAGTGCTCCACGTGTGATCGTCACGTCGATGCGGTCAAAGGTATGTCGACCTCGGCGTCTGGAATAGAAGCCCTCGACGCTAACGGGATGCAGGGCGTGTTTGAAGGATGTGCCGGACAATGTCATGTTTCATCTGAAACGCTTCGACTTTAACCTGCGCACTTTGCAGTAAGATCAATGACCACTTCTCCTTTCCTCCGACAATCGACTTACGGCCGTACACGATCGAGCACCTCAGCGATACGAGCTCCGAGGCAGCAGAGGACGTTTTCGAGCTTGTCGGCATCCTCGTCCATTCGGGAACCGCTGAGTCGGGCCACTACTCCTACATCAAGGAGCGACCTCGGCGGCCAGGAGAGCTGGATCGAGTTCAATGACGACGTCGTCACTCCCTGGGATCCGTCCCTCATGGCAAGCTCAACGTTTGGTGGTCCCGACACCCGCTCGGTGTACGAAACAAATGGCGTCATCTACGATAAGAGCTACAGCGCCTACATGCTTTTCTATCAACGCGTCTCGTCGCTCAAGACTGAGCAAGAATCCATGGTGGCGCAGCAACTGTCGGCTCCCCTACGCGTTGACATGCCCGCGCTGCTCAAGGAGCACATCGCCAACGAGAACACGGTCATACTGCGACGGCATTGCGTCTTCGACCCAGGACATGCAATATTTGTGCAACTGCTTCACCGGGCCAGATCCGTGGACGGGGAGAGGCGAACAGCCCCACGGCGGCCAAGGAGGCTGGAGAGACTGACGATGGGCCGTCCTCGAATCACGATCTGCAGAACTTGGCAATGGAGATGGCCTTGTCCCACCTGGACCAGATCGTCTCACGGACAAAAGACACGCCATTCTTCGCGGCGTTTTCAAGCACGATCAGGGCCGCGGTTGTCAGCTGCCCCCGATGCGCCTTGGCACTCTACGACTATTTCGACGCACGCCACGTCGTACCGAGCCCTTGTGCAGCGAAACCTGAACAGCACGTCCGAGCATTCGCGGGCGAGGTGCTCGTACGCGCGGCGGAGAAGATTGCCGAAAGGCTTCCTGATGTGTACGAGCATGGCAGCCAGGCGCCGGCCGACGCGGAATCGAGCAGCGACGGAGAGGCATGGAGCGAGACCTCGAGCACGATGGCGAGGGTGGATCGGGCACTCGGTCCTGGAGGGCGTCGCGATGCTCTTCAACCACCTCTGGCAGTTTTCCAAATCCACCTCCGGTCATGGGACGAATACTTTGGCACGATACTGGCGTTTGCCAAGCTCGGACATCGAGAGGCCGGGCTGGTCCTGTCCGAGGACTACCTGATCAAGTTGCTGCGCATCGTGGATGCCGACACGACCATGGACCTGCCGCCAAACTACGCTCGCATGCTGAACAATGTCCTGCGGCGGATCAACACGCGGCCGCCGTCGTACTCTGCCATCATGTCGCTCATCGACTACCTGCTCGCACAGCTTGACCCGGTCTTGGGCCCAGAGGTCATTATCGACCAGCCGGGGGAGCGCCTCGCGTTCAAAGCTCCCTTTCCCTGGACGTCGCAGGAAGTGCACGAAGTTCACAACCACCCGGACCGCCAGATGGCCAGCTTCTTTGTGGAGAAGCTGGTGTCCATCGATCAGGCCTGGAGCGTGACCAATGACATTGTAGGCCGGCTGATTTTGACGGGAGGACCGATGGACCTCAGAATAGTGAACACCCTCTGCAGCAACATCCAGGGCGAGCTCGGCACAGCCGATGGACCCTTTTCTCAGGGTGGCTGGGCGATACCTCGAGTGCACCCAGTCGGCAGACAACGCGCACGCTCTCATCCGCCACGTTTGCGCCCAGGCCCGGAACCTGCAAAACACGGAAGGGCGTTTTTGAACTTTATCAGGGTGGCACTGCGGTCCGACAGACCGGATGAGGAGCTGGCGCGATCCAGACGCGAGAGCAGCATCGACACTGTCACAGGCTGGGCACCATACCTACTGGTGTACCCGGACGCCAACACGAGGCGCGAGGCAGAGCAGCTGCTCGAAGACGAAGTGCTGCAGCACTCGTCGCTGAAGGAGGCTGGGGAGAATGAGAACGGAACGGAGAACAGGGCGGTTCGACCGGGTGGTGCAGGACTTGGGGATCAAGTGCCTGGTGTACCTGCGTGAGGTGCACACGAGGCGGCGAATCAAGATTGAGCGCGATGCTGCGTGGAGCATACTACGGGTCGTGGGCCGGTGCGCGCCGTGCTACGAAGGCGTCCTGGACGCGGACGGGGATGAAGACGTGGGTTGCGGCGCTGCAGGGCGGTAAGTTTGCGTCTAGGGCGCGGGCGGGCGAGGCACGGTCATTTGCTGACTCTTTGGCAGAGGTTATGGAACCGCTGCGACGACTGATGGTGGACGAGGTGGAGGACGAGGCGTCGGGTAAGTGCGGAAAGTGTCGAGGCTGGACGGGGTTAACACTGGCTACAGATTGGGACGAGTCGTGCGTGTCGTCGGACCCGATGGAGGCTAACGTGGGCATTCCGGTGTAGACGACGATGAATGAAGCAGACGTGGTCTGAAACGAAGCTTATGATGATGTCACTGCTGCGTGCATTCGGCGCGAGAAAAAATGGCCCGAGGTGGAGTGTGGAGGGCAGTGTTTGAGCAAGGCGTCCAGGGGAGTTCCAGTTTATCGCCCACTCTTTTGTTTTTCGTCATAAGCCATGCCTTGGACCTTGGCTCTTGTGCGCCTCCGTCGGTGCTGTCGTCGACGGCTTGGTCTTGATGTGCTGTGCGCCCGTGGAGTTGTCGGGAGCGTCACAGGAGGTGGGAAGCGGCGAGAAGGGTTCGTGATGGCAGGAGCTTAATAAGGACCGCCGAGTTGGGACGCGCTCTATGTCGACGGTGGCGAGCTGGTGGGTGTGGTGTAGAGTTGACTGTAGAGTTGACTGTAGAGTTGACTGTAGAGTTGACGGGCGTCTGACGGCGATTGGAGGCGAGCCCCTGGCTTAAGCGCGCGCGCAGAGGTGCGGCCACGTGGGCCTTGTTTGAGAAGCGTGCGCGAAGGGCAGGGTACAGTAGAATGGGTGTGGTGTAATTACTCGGTAGACGGTGGTCTCTCGGTGCTGACTGGCTGGCTGACTGGAGGCTGGCGGTAACAAGTACAGTACAGTTATGTAACTTGAAGCACGTATGTACATATTCGCGAGTGTGCACGTATAGTAAGTACAGCATAGTATTCACGAGTGTGTGTGTGTGTTTGTAACCGTGTATATATATATGTATATGTATATATATATATATATAGAGCATGGCGAGTAAAATAGCATGATGCCGCGTGCGTCGTACAGCGTCACCCGCATGCATTACGCATCATGCCGCCACGCAAGTAAGCTGATTGATTTAAAATAAAAACAAAAAGGTAGCGCGGAAAAGAGGGGAAGGGGTTCGTTTGGATGTGTTCTGTTTTGTTTCGAGCTCCCGGCCGGGCTGTGTGCCTGCTGCGCTGTGCTGGGGCCTCGAGAGCGCTTCGTATCCGTGAAAGCAGGGTGATGATGCGATGGCGTCTCCACCCGCAAGGCCAGCCAGACCTGGTCTCTGTCTCTGGCCAAGGGCGGCAGCCGTCGGGCGTCAGCGGTATGTACAAGCCAGTAGCGGCCGGGTGCACTGCACGCGTAAAGTAGTAGTAAAGCATAGAGTTAAAGTAGGGAGGGGGCGGCCGACGGACTGATACGTCTTCTCTCCCTCGACGCCGGGGCCGGGTGTAGGTAGCACACGCCGTCCCGCTGTCCGTCCCTGTGGATATGCCCAGCCCGTAACTGTACAGCCCGTACTACGTAGGGGTAGAGAGAGAGTGCGTGCGTGCGTGCTTGGGTCTCCGGTTTTCCTTTTCCGGGGGCGACGGCGGAGAAGGAAAGAAGAAGAAGAAGCAGGGGAAGAAGACGGAACCAGAGGCGTGGTGTTTTTGCCCCCGAACCCTTAATCTAAACCACGTCGCAGTCGTGGCAGCCCGTCGGCGCAGGGACCATGGGAGGAGGCCCTCGTCGTCACAGGAGCAAAGGAAGGAAAAAAAGACGGCGCGGGGTTTCAGAAGCACGGGCGCAGCGGGGGGGCGTTTCGTGGTTGCCGCGTCCCGCCCGTGTTTGAGACTAGCAGGACGCTAGCGGGCGTTGAAGACACCTGCCTATATCCGCAGCGAGGGCGATAAATGGGCTGAATATAATATCCGTACCTCGAGTTGGGCCAAGGGGTGCGAGCGGCTTTCCCTCGTGTCTGCTCCCATCCGTCTGTTCTCCCGGCTGTCCTTTGGGCTGCTGTCCCTTCTGTGACGGGTGTCCCATCTCTCTAATGATCCATCATCATCATCATCATCATCATCATCATCATCATCATCTGACCGACCCTCGTCGCTGCTGGCTCTCGAGCACACGAGATCCAACCGCTGCCCGTCACTGATTGCACACACATCTTCTCGCCTCCTCCTCATCGTCGGCATCGTCGGCATCGTCGGCATCCACCAACCGTCGCCTCCATGGGCTTCAAAGACACCATCTCCCTCCCCCTCGAGGCTGGGCCCTCGGTCCTCGACGTCCACCTCGTCCCGCCTCACCTCCTCGCCGCCCTCGAGCGTCGCCGCCCGCCTCGCCCGCAAGTCGCTGGCCCTCGACCTCGTCCTCGTCCGCAGAGACTACCAGCTGCCCTCCATCCTGCCGCCCTTTGCCTCCGCCTCGCCCCGCCAGAGCCCACCAACAGCATCCTCTGTCCTGGCCTCCTCCTCCTCCTCCTCCTCCGCCTTCTCCATCTCCTCCTCCTCCCCAGCAGCCCAGGTTCGCCCCCGTCACCGCCCTCAAGCAGCTCGTCCGCACCGCCTCTCGCCGCGCCTCCGACCCGATCCGCCCGACCAGGACCCGTCAGGGCAGCCAGGCCCTCCGTCGCCTCCTTGCCCTTCACCCCCGCCCCCATCCGCCGCACCCCGTCCTCCGCCGCGCCCTCGTCGCCTTCGTCCATCTTTTCCGCCGATCTCCCGAGCCCTGCCGCGCCCGAGCAAAGGTTTGGCACCGGGTAAGATACGCTCCCCAACGACCTGACCCGCTGCGGTGCTAACAGCAGCCCGTCGCAGTGGCCCCTGGTTCTCGCAACCCGTCAGCCCTGCCGCCTGCGGACTGCCCGTCAACTCTTCAGCAGCTCCTCGTCCAGAACGAGTCCTCTTCGCCTCACAAGGCCTGTCCCTTGTCTCCCTCGACCGCTTCTTCAGCCTCAAGTGCGCCTTGTCGAGCTACTCCATGACCCGCTCGCCCGTCCGCCTGGAGGACGCCACCGACAGCTCCACCGCTTCGTCCTCGCCAACAACGGCACCAGGGTCAGCAAGTCGGCCCTCCTCCGCTCTTACGACTGGCTCTCTCTCTCCGATGACACCGTCGACCATCTCGACCGCATGTATCGCCGCGCCTATGGCGGCCCGGAGCAGGTCGGCGCCATCGCCGGCATGCCAGATCCGCCACTCCCCACCCGAGCCCGCGCCCGAGCCGAGACGTCGCCTTCTCCGTGCCAAGATGATCTGCTCGAGGCCGAGTTTGCCTTTCCGCACCCCGACGACATTGGCATCGCCATCACCACCCCCGAAACCTCTCTGTCCCCTTCCCCGAGAGTCCCCACCCTCAAGCTGCAAATAGACTTTGGCCCAACGCCGCCCCCGACTGACAGTCCGCGGTGGCCATGGCAAGATGACGACGACGACGACGACGACGATGGCGACCGCACAGCGCTGCCCGAGAATTTCCTGACCATAGGCTTCGACCCCTGGGCCGAGCCGTCCATCGACCACGTCCTGAGCACAAAGCCCGTGGTCCTCAGCCCGGATCCGTTCGCTAAAGGGCCGGGCCATTGACCCAAGACCTATGGCGACATATCACCCGTTACCCGCGGCGAGTGGGGGTTCTTGATGGTGGATAGCGTGCTCCGAAGCGGACGTACCGTCACAGTGGAAACCTGTTGAGGCGACGATGAGTGGACAGGGCTGAAAATGGTCTCAGAATGGAAGACTCTGGGCGGGCCCTGGAGTGTATTCGCTCGTCTGTTGACGCCGTCTGAGGCTTGATCATGCTCTTGCGGCATCATCGCATCATATCCCTGTATAACACTGTAGGAAAGGGCCCGCCAAATTGCCAGCCAACAAGATTTAATAAGAGACTTGTTGGATTCGATAGCCGTGTCTGCTGTTCAAGCACAGCCGCTTCGAAGTCTTCCTCGGGTCATCACCAGCCATATCGGCTGGACGCCTCCTTGCGGTTGCTCTTGCCCTTGGCGAAGCTGTCCTCGAGCGCCTCGCGCTGGTTGTGCACGTTCTGGACGAGCTGCCGCAGGCTGTGTTTGCCGCCCTGCAGCGCGCACGGCTGGTGGATTTGCTGTTCGCCCGCCGCGCGGCCGTCTCGTTGTGCTGGTACTCCTGGTCCGTGTTGAAGTTGATGACATGCTTGGCGGCCGGGGCCGCCGTCGCGGCAAGAGCTGGCGCCGGGCGGCCGCCGAGGCTGCAGGTCGTCCGCGATGCTGTCCAGGCTGTCGGGGCCGGGGCCAGTCGTTGCCAGCGGCGCACCGTGCTGCGTTTGAGCCGCATAGTGGGCATAGTCTTGGGGTAGGCTCTGGGAGGCCCGGCCTCAGAAGAGGCTCGTAGGCCCCGCCTGGCGCTGGCCGTGTCGTTGCTGGCTCTTGCGGCTCCTCACTGTGCAGGAGAAGAGAAACCTTTTGGCGGGAGGGGCGCCGAAGCCGAGGCCGCTTGCGTCTTGGCCGTTTCTTGAGTCGCCGCACTCGACGGTGTCGTGGATTGGGCCCCGCCGACCCTGGCGCCCTTTTCTTGGCGGTCCTTGCGACAGAAAGCGGCCGAAACATCAAGGGCTTGCCGACCAGCTTGACCTCGTCTGCTGGCTTCTGCTCCTGCGACACCGACGTCTCGGCCGCTCGGCTCAGCGGCGCCTCGCTCACAGCCTCGGCAGCCGCCCCATCACCCCCGCCTCGCCCACCGTAGTAGCCCTCATTCTCATTCCCGCCACGCCTGAATCCCGGCTCCGCGCTCGTCTTGAGGCGACGCCCGGCCGCCTCGCCTGGCCACCACCACCCGCCTTAGCCGCGTTCTTGGGCGCCGGCAGCATCGAGTTGAAGCCGGAAAAGACGGTCGCGCCGGAGGTGCAGCTCGCTGCCGGGGCTCGTCGGGCTTGGCGTCGCCGGTCGCCGGCAGTACCTGCTGCGGGAGGCTGACGGTGATTTTGCCTCTGTTGGAGCGGTCGACAACTTTCTGGAAGGCCTGCTTCTTGGGCGCTGCTGCTGCCGCCTTTGGAGCGGGGGCCGGCTTTGGGGGCGCTTCCGACTCGGAGGCTGAGGCATCGGACTCGGAGTAGTCGACGAGAACCATGGTAGCGACTTGTCTTTCGGGCGGAGCAGAAGGAGAAGCCGTGCTGGTGGTGGTTTGAGGTTGGGTCGGGAATGAGCCGATGTATCGGGAAAGTTGCTGCAGCTGCCTGTCAACAAAAGTCGGCCCGTGACAAAATGCGTCTCCACCGCCCGGCATTTCGGCCACTAGTGGTCGTGCTAGCGCATTGCTCGCTGCACTCCACTGTATTTCATGCTGTATCTCATGCTGCGTGTCCCTAGAGACCCTGGGGCGGGGCCGGATGCACTGCTGCAGTCACTGTGCCACCCTCGGACTGACGTGATGCAACCTCACACCCTCATCACCGTCGACATCGCAGCAAGCACCTTCATGTCCTCGCACACTGCCGCACCGCGAACCACGTCTAGCGCCCCTCGGCTGATGAACATGTAGACGGGCATTCGTGGCGACTGCTCTGCCAGCCCGTCTTTTCTCCAGCCGCCATCATGTCCGTCCTCCAGTTAGACGAGTAGGTGCACCACCTTGCAAAGACAAAGGCTGGGTTGCTGATATCGGCGCAGGCTCGTCTCGTACCAGCTCCGGACGAGATACCTCGACGAGATCGCCGACGGGGTTGGCGAGCGACTCATCACCGTCGACGAGAGCTTCCTCAACTCGGCCTCGTTCAAGGCCGCGGGCTGGCGGCCCGACACGTCGCACACGCGCACGCACGCCGCCCATCCCCACCGCCATCGCCTCCGAGTACTTCCAGGCGCCGCGACACGTCGGCCTGACGCTCGAGGACGGCGACGACGACGGCGGCATGCTCACGGGCGGCGGCGGCACCATGGGCCCCGGCATGGCCACTAGAGCGCCGCCGCCGGGAGCAGATGGAGGAGGACGACAGCAGCGACCTCAGCGATGACAGCGAGGACGACAGCGAGCAGCGCGCCGCCCAGCAGATCAAGTTCTCCAAGATGCCCATCAGGCCGCGCGCCGGCTCCTCGCCCATCCAGGCCTCGCAGATGATGAAGCAGCAGACGTCGCCCCGCGAGCCGCGCCGCGGGTCCCAGTCGGCCCTCGAGACGGTCAGGGAGAGGCTGCGCCGCGACACCGTCACCAGCAGCGAGGTGTCGTCGGAGAACGAGCTCGACCTCCCTGCAGCCCACCGCCATCGAGGCGGCCCGCGCGGCGCGCCAGGTCCGTCGGCAAGAAAAGATCAACGAAGAGCCGGCGCCCGGCATCCGGAGGGCCGGGACGACACTGCTTCAGGAGGAGAAGACGACGACGACTCGGACGAGGATCGGACATTTCGGGGATTACGTCGAGAGCATCGACTCGGCCTCGATCCTCAACGGCGTCGAGAATCAAATCAACGCTTCTCCCACGCAGCCGGTCGTCGCACACCCCGAGAAAGTTTACCAGACAGTCTACGATTCGCAAGTCGTATGCACCCACCAAGCCCATGGTCCTCGAGGCCCTGCCGCCGCCACGCCCGCTCAGCACCATCCGCCCGCTCAGCATCGCTCAGCCCCAGAGCCTGCTGTCGGCGGCGCTCAAGGCCAAACGGCACAAGTCGTCGGTGCCCTTTCAGAAGTTTGCCCACTTCAGCGGGCAGGGCACGCAGGGCGCCATCAACGTGCGCATCTACGCGCCCTCTTCCAAGACGCCCAACAAGCCGTTTGAGGTGCTCATCCGGCCGCGGGTGCACGACGGCCAGGGCGCCGAGCGCGTCGTCACCGTGGCCGACCTGATTGGCCTCAGCCTGTACCGGTTCAACGAGGAGAAGCGCGAGCCGCCGATCGCGCCGCAGAAGCGCAACATCAACTGGTGGACGCTGCGGATGGTGGAGGAGGGCGGCGAGGTCGACGACGACTTCCCCGCTGAGAGGACCAAGCAACTGGCTGCCTTTACTGTCAACAACGCCGGTGCCAGGGGCGGCGGGAGGCTGCGGTCCAACTCGACCGTCTACGACGACTTTGCCCTGGTGCCGGCAACGGAGGAGGAGTTTGAGGAGAACAAGTCGCTGACGCCGCAGGAGGACGAGGGCGGCGAGGAAGAGGAGGAGCCGCAGCCTGGCGAGGGCCGAGACGATGGCGCCGTGCCCAAGCCGTCAATCCCGCCGGCGGTGACGACGATGAGCGAGGCCGGCCGCGACTGAACCCCATTGTCACGACGACGTACCGGCCCAACATATCACTTGCCGACACGCCGCAGGCTCCGGTGGCGGTGCCCAACACGACGCGCGGCCAGCAGAAGCTGCTGCGGATCCACCTCATGTCGGCGGACACGGCGCCGGGCCAGATGGTGACGCTGGACGTGCTGACGGACACGTACCTGGCCGAGGTGCTGGACCTGGTGTGCCGTAAGAGGCAGCTGGACAAGGGCAACCACGTGCTGAAGCTGCCGGGGTCCGGGGCGGTGGTGATGATTGACCGGCCGGTGTCGTCGATCGGCAACGTGTCGGACCTGGAGCTGTACCGGCGGCGGTTCGCGACGGACGGGCCGATGAGCATGACGGGGTCGCCGAGCAGCGCGTCACCCAAGATGATGGCGCTGGGCGAGGGCAGCAAGGGGCGGCAACGGCGGCGGCGGCGGCGGCAGCGCGTCGGGGCCTGGGCCGAAGGGCGTCGGGGCCGGGCTGCACGCTGGCGCGCGAGGCGGGCAAGCAGGACGAGGTGGGCAACGCGAACCTCAAGCGGTACACGGTGTGGCGCAAGCAGCCGATGCGGCTGGTGGGCATGAGCGAGCGGTCGCTGGTGATTGACGGCGAGTACATTCATCTCGCCGGCGTCAGGGGGCAGGGGTGCACGAGGGCAAGTCGACGACGGTGCACTTTAGCAACGTGATTGGGTGCAAGGTGCCGCGGAAGCACCCTGCCAACGTCAAGGTGCGTCTCTCTCTCTCTCTCTCTCTCTCTCTCTCTCTCTCTCTCTCTCTCTCTCTCTCTCTCTCTCTCTCTCTCTCTCTGGTGTGGCCTCGAGTCTTGATGCTGACGGCGTCGGATAGCTCGTCATCTACAAGGCGACGGAGACGAAGCGGTACGACTTTGAGGCCCGGAGCGCCGACGAGGCGGCCGAGATTGTGGCCGAGTTGACCAAGGGCTTCTCGCCGTACCGCGATGTGTACTGATGGATCGACTGTGGAGGCATCCGTGAGCACCCGAGAGGACGAGTTGTGCGGGCTTTGTGGTGCAGATGCTGGCAGGCTGGTGTTTCGTGTCGTGGACGTGGCTGACATCGGGTGCGGGCTGTATCGGTATGGAATATCTACTTCCAGTAGGGGGTCTACTCTTACGATTGTCGAGGTCGGTCTGTCAAGTATGTAGGTAGACGGGTAGACTCGGAACCCATATCTGCCCTACATAGGCAGTATGTGTAAATGGATACCAACTAGTTCTTGGATTAGGTCTGGAAGGCATCAGTCAGCAGCTGAAGCTGGGAGTTGACACTGAACGCTGTGCGTATTAGCCAGGGCGGATGCTATTCATCAACACACATTTACTACAGCCTTTGTTGGGCTCAACCACCTGATCCTCGAACTATTGATGGCCCTACTAGGCAGGCCGGAGAAGCTCGTTCCAATAGAAGACAAGCACAACCCGTTGGGAGCAGCAATGGGGATGTAACTCGACTCTCTCATGGATACAAGGGAGGCGCAGAAGGTCCTATCTAATTACCAACTTCGAGGTCATACTTTTATATCCCTTGCAACAAGTATGAGATGGAGTGAAAAGCCACTGATGAATGGCCTGCGCATGACGAGTCACGCTTTCTTTTGCCCTCCTCGGCACCATGATTCGCGCTTTGTCGACGCAGCTTGCGCGGCTTTCGGCCCCGCGTTGCAACACGCGTACGAGATTTGCTCTTTTTCGTGGTGCTTCGAGGTTCTCGGCGCTCTGCTTGGTAGACAGAGTCGGGCGTCTTCGTGTGACGCTGGCCAACGACTCCACCGGGCCTCTCCTGCTGCCGCATAATGCCCGGCACCCCGGAGAACGTCGACGGAAAACCAAGCATCGTAGGGCGGCGAGGCGCTCCACCATGGCCGCCGCCCTCGGGCGATTCACGGCTTGAACCCACCTCCACTCAGCCCGATGGGGTTTCCGATGGACAAGTCTGATACCGTGGGTTGCCAGGGCTGCTCCGCGCACCTTCAAGCCACACGTCTTGACCACGCGTGAAGGGCCAGATCCTGAAGCCGACGATGAGGCAGCCTCCGCATGTCTCTCCGCAGGCGTCGCGACGAAAGAGCCTGACAAAGTGGCCCGCGTCGTGGCCTCGCACGGCCCACGCGTGCGTCGCCCATGATCAGGGAAAGGTTAGCGACGTTGCTGTCGCCAGCACGACCGCGCCGCGTGAAGCTTCCCCCCTGGGGAATCTTGCCGGTCGTGATGACTGGGGCATGGCTCATTATCACCCACCAGTCCGCTCGCTCGATACCAAGGATGCCGACTTTCTTGCTTAACCCCGTTGACAATGCTCGGCCCTCTCCACGCTCTTCACGCCTCTTCTACCTGAGCACCGCGGCTTTGCGCTGTTGGTTCTTCATTTCTCAACCTTTCCAGAGCGGCAGGACGCCATCCTGTGCGCGCGTTTGGCGAGGCAAACTGCCCGCTCTATCAAGCCGACATCGTGCCATGGGCCGCGACGCCTTCTCTATCCGACAGCCCTGACGACGAGCTTCGCTATGGCCATCCAGACCAAGGTGCGACGAGCCTTGCATGCTGCAGAGGCACCACGGCTCTTGCTAACCCGCCGCGCAGTGTATCCCTCTCCGTTTATAGGCTCCCAGTGAGAACTTGGCATCGACGAGTGTGGATGACGGCCGATGGACGATACGGCCGTTATGGATTCGGAGATGGCTACAACCGCACCACCGGTCGACTGAAACCAGGTCGACTGGGCGCATGCAGCATCTTTGCCCGGAGCGAAACGTCAAGCGATTCCCCATCCACTCTCCTCCGGCAAAATCTTGGGCGGCAGGAAATTTGCGCTCAAGAATGCAAACGCATCGGACGCGACGGCGGGCCCCCTTGACGAGTTTTCAGGGACCAGTCCTTCTCGAAGGACAGCCACTGTCATTCGCGGCTTTTCCAGCTTCGCCTTTAAGCCAGAAGACTTGTGGAACCTCCGCTCTCATTGTCGAGACGGCACTTCACTCTGGCGGGAATATGCCGTCTTCTTGCTCGTGCATATACAAGACCCAGCGGCGAACGTCTTCGACTCCGAAAGAGGTACGATGCGGCGTTCAAGGCTGCCAACATTGCGCCGAGTTTCGGTCCATGAGGATACTGTGAAGCGATCAGTTGTTGGAGTCGTGGTACGATGCAGTCAATGAACATCAGTAAGCTTCCAGTTTAATCCTGATCAATTTGAAGAGCCCATCGGAAACTAACACAAGCCTTGCTCAGGACCTTGCTCCAAGTGTTCCAGCCTCTGCAGCTCTTTGCACTGTATCATCCGGGGTTCGACCACTATTGGCAGGTAGAGCTCGACCAGCGCTTTCTTGGCCAGGCCGGGAAATATCTCGACGTAGTATCGGCGTTTGCGTGGCACGAGCCGCGAAAGCAGGCCCCAGAACGAGCGACATACCCGCTCAACGTCGACGAGTATGGCACCTACGACAAATTTCTGTCCCGAGTGGACAGGGCAAATCGAGGGTCAGTCGAGCCTGGGGCCCCGTGCGCATCCCCAGGTCTACCACCGGGGCCGAGACCGCCAGTAAACAGACCCGAAGACGATGCCTTTAGCTGGGGCGTCGGTGAATACGCAGATGTCATCGTCAGCAGCTTTTGCGGCAACATCTTGCAATCGGAATGGGTATTCCGCGACTTCATCCTCGGCTTCCGCTTCTGGCACAGTACACCCCGCTGGTGGTGCCCGCCGGCCGTCATGCGTAGCAGTCGGCAGCTACTCGCCACGATACACCAGGCCCAGATGGACAAGGGACTGGCTGTTTCGAGGCCTCATGTTCAAGCTATTCGTCATCGGTCACTTGGTATCCGCCTCTTCGTTGTTGGGTGGCCAACCCACCTTGACGGGGCACCGGAACCTCGACAGTGTAGCGCAACACCATGGAGCCTTTCTGGACAGTTGGTGGCAACCTGGTGCCCTCAGCGCTGTCAGATTGTATTGCGCTGCAGCAGATCAAGTCACCGCAAATCCTCTTCGCTACGGCTGGCGCAATGCTTTACCGATGTTTTGGGCCAGCGATCTCTTGAGGCGTGCAGTACAGAAGGGCGTGGAACTGGCTCGCTGGCCTGAAGCCATCTGCACGCAAGACGTCAGATGGGAGTAACGCACGGACTGTCTGTCGTCAGCACAGAATTCAAGGCGAACTCGGCGACGGTGGTACGCGTACACATCCCTACCGACCGACCACCTCAAGCAGACGTTTGGCTTTCGAACGCGGTTCATCGCGGTAGACGCAATATATGAAAATTCAAAGGCGGCATAGGCGGAGCGAAATTGCACATTACCTACCAGGTACCCACGCAACTGTCCATGTACGTACCAGAGATTGACCCTTTGGGAAAGGGCCGGCGGATATGTACTGTACAGTACAGTATTACTGCAACTCCGTACGCAATGACGCGACTAACGTGTGGCTCAGCAGCAAACGGAGTCGCGCGCCACAAAGGCGTAGTGGCGTCTTCCGTCAGCGCTCAGCTCTCATGGCGGCAGCAGCGGCAGCTGCTTCCTGTTTCGACCTGGGCGAAGCTGAAAAGTCAGTGGGCCCCGGCACAGCTGCCCTGGAGTCAACCAAGTACCGGTACAGAGATGGGTTTGCAGATGGACGCAGGTGCCAAGCGTGGTCGCATTCCCCCATCCACCTTGGTGATGAGCAGCATTAACAGCATCTCAGTCCAAAAATAGAACCAGACATTGGCCGAGGAGCCTAAAAACCAGGCTGTAACAGCACACAGCCTTGGTTGCAACTGTCCAAGGCATGCAGAGCCGTGCAAAGTCGAATCACTCGCCCGACATGATGTCCGACTTGCTCGAGCATTCCGTCGCGCCAAGCTCTGGGCACTGGCAGCAGTTGGTCGGAGCAGCGTCATTGTGCTCCGTCCCCACTCGGCAGGCCCAACGGCGTGCTGTGATTGGCTTTCCTGGAGTGCACTCGGTTTATCCACGCTGATCATCCTCGCCCGCCAGTGCGTCACCCAGCAACCGTGGGTGCCCTTCTCTGTACAGTACTGTACCTATGTACATTGATTCAGCGTGGAGAGGCCCAAACTAATATTCGCCTCTCCACGCCGCAGACGACAGCGTTGCGCGTCCATGCAAACAGGAGGCAGCCCACCGACATGTACACCGACATGTACCGGTACCTGTCTCGTCTCGCACGCACTAGCTGCGGACTGCGCCGCCTGCATGGTGGGGCCTTTGGGGATTACGGAGCCCAAGCAAACAAGGTATGCATAGAGTACCTTCGTACTGTACAGCACCTGCGAGGCGATCCGGCCAACCGTCATCCGCGGTCCGGCGCGGCTCCCCGAGCCATGTACAGTACTGTCTCGGCTGCGTAGAAGGAGGCTCTGGCCGCTCTTGTTCCTGCCCGTGCAAGGGATCACATGTATATATATATATATATATATATCCATTCAGCATTCCCCTCCGAGCTCGTCTTCGCTTCTTCAGCGTCCGTTCTGGTCCCCGCGAGCATCCATCACCATTATCTATCAAAGCATTCCCACACCTCTCTAATCCAACCCGCTCAAGAACAATTCGTCAACATGAAGTTCTCCAACCTCGCTGTTGTCGCCTTGGCGCGGCTGTCCAGGTATGAATCCTCTCCTCTGCCTGCATCCGTGCCCCTCACTCTGCCTTCTCTGTCCTCCACTCCATAACCCTCGCCTCGTCGCAAACCGGCATGCAAACTGACCTCATGTGCAGGCCACCCCGAGCCCAGCAAGACATCATCAACCAAGTGAGCACCTTTGTCGATGGTGCCGTCTCGCGCGCCGAGACGTTTGTCAACGGCGCTGCCTCTACCGTCGCCAACGCCTACTCGGACGGCCGCTCCGCCGGCACCAAGCTCGTCGGTGACGCCTCCAGCTTCGTCGCCACCCGCACCGCCCAGCTCGGCTCCGACATTGCCCGCGCCAGCAGTGAGGCCCTCGCCAAGGCCTCGAGCATCAGCCAGCGCCTTGCCACCGAGACCGACGTCTCGGTCCGCAGCAGCATCAGCGCAGAGCTCAGCAAGGTTACCGAGAGCGTCGCGAGGGCCACTAGCAGCGTCGCCAGCCGCGCCACCGACAGCCCCGGAGCCGGTGCACACGGTCCCGGGCCCACGGCCGCCGTCGCCATGGGTGCCCTCATGGGTGGCGCGGCCATGTTTGCCAACTTTGACATGCCTGCACGGAGGACTCCAACCAACTCGACCAACCAGGTGCCATGGTCAGGTTGGGTTGGGAATGAAGTGGCGAGGCCTAGCAAGAACCATATGTGACGGATGGCAAAGGAATGGATAATACCCATGGTTCTTCACGAGGCCAGCAGCCATGTCGGAATCATTGTTGCATTGATATGTGAGTTTCCACCAAAGAGAGGTGTGAAACGAAGTTATGGAAGTACTGCTATGGGAATGGCGTTAGGTATGGTTTGATGGCGTCAATTGAAAGCAACTTCAGCACGCACGCGAATACTCGGCCATGTCGTCTCTATCCGCTCCCTGTTGTGAAACCTCGCAAGTCTTAAGACGTTTTGATTGATTCAAGGAAAGGGTATCTTATCATATATAGGCACAATAGCCCGAACTCCAATTACCTTGGCCGTGATGTCATCTCGGAAGCGAGCCGTCCCTGCAGACGGGTTGTTATCGTGTCTGCCCCCAGAGTCGGTCGATGATTTGGAACATGGCCGTCACATCCCTCATGACGTCGCTGTCCACCACGCCGCCAAGGCGCTGTTGGATCTTGTCCGGGTGCCAGCGGACGCGCTCCTCCTTGAGCTGGGCGGCAAAGGCCCGCTCCCCGACTGCCTGGAGGTTGAAGCCCTGGACGAAAAACGTCCGGACATCCTCCTCCGTGATGTCCTTGCGCCGCCCCCTTTGACCGGCCACGGCAGCCAGCCAGTTGGCCATCCACGCCGCCCAGCCGTCGGCGTAGTCTGCCCAGAGGCCATCCCATTCCTTGCGCAGCTTGCGTGCCTCGCCGCGGCGCAGGCTCAGCTCTACGTCGTCCTGGAGCTTGCGGCTGCGGCGCGCGTGCTCGTCCTGCTCGCGGCGCCTGTCCTGCCGCTGGCGCTCCCTGCGCTTGCGCTGCTCCTCGCGGCGGGCATTTTCCTCGAGGAGCCCAGCGTGCGTCTTCTCAAACATTTTTTGTCGCACGTAGGCCGCGTACTCGTCGTCGGTCATACGCTCCAACTCGCCCTGGGGGCCGACCTTTTCGTTGGGGTAGACGTGGATGGGCTGGCCGTAGACGTGCTCCCAGTACGAGGCTGCCTCGTCGTCGGCCATGGCGTCGAAGAGGGACTCGCGAAAAGCCGTTTCCGGATCGAGCGGTGGCGGGCCGGGGATCTCGGGAGTCGCCTCGGGACGCAGATCTGTGCCGTCGGCCATGGCGGTGGCCATGGCGACGATGGTGGCTGCCTGACTCGTGGGACGAGGTAGCTTCGTTCAGGTCCTCATCCCGGTCGGGCGGCGGGTTCGGAGCGATGTCGTCGCCTAGAAGTCTTGAGCTTGAGGCGCGACGATCTCGGACGCAGCGGGTTCTCATCGTGATCCTCGGGCTGCTTGGGTTCCGTTGGGGTGACCGGGGTGACCTTGGGCCGCTCGCGCTCAGAGTCCGCGGTGTGTCTGCTGGTCGTATGACGTGACCCGGCAGGCGGCGTCGGATTGATAGATGAGAGAACATGGTGCCTGTTTGGGGATGAGAGTAAGTAGCTCATGTCGCGACCTTCATCCTCCGAGGATCCGGCGGTGAGGAAGGGACAACAAGGCCAAGCACAAGGGTTTGAAGAGGCCCCGGGGGGTGATTCGCAGAGCAACGGTCGTTACAGAGTGTGGCTGCCTGCCAGCAGGAGGGTGGGCGCACATGCGTTGGAGAAGAGACCCTCGATGGGCGGCAGTGACGAGGCTGAAGTTGGAGGGCGAATTTTTAGCAGGGCATCTCAGCACGAAGGCGGAGTGTACTTGTATATTCTGCAAGTACCCGCTCTCTGTGCAAGTGCCAGGCGGTACTCAACTTTGGCCTGTGCAAGGTCCTTGTTAGAAGGAGAAGAGTGTAAGTAGAGGTACTTTCCAAATGATGTACTATCTAACCGCTTCTTATGTAGAGCTACGGAGCACCCATTAAAGGCCTGAAGCCAGTCGGAAACGAATCGATAAGGCATCAGGAGGCGCGGTACCTTGCATCAGGTACCTCACCTTACCCTTTTTTGTCCACGTTGTGCAAAAGCTTGGATCGCTTCGGCGAACCTCCTCCATCCCGTCCGGCCTCTCAAATCTCCCTGCTGCAGGAGAACCAACCCTCCCCCCTCTCCATCGGGAGCCGTGTAACAGACAGACAGCAACTACTCCGCCCGAGCGCTACTGGAGCGGCCATGTCGTGCGAATAGTCGAGCCGGCAACGCAATTGCTCTCCCGCGCCAGTCGTTGCTGGCCTCGGCCTCGCAGCCATCATGGCTGGCATCTTTCTGCTCCTGTCGTTATGCGTCAGTCTTGATCCCCAGACCGATTCTGACATTGCGCACGGAGCTTGCTTGGCTGACAGTTGTCTACAGGTGGTCATGGCATTGGCGTACGAACAATCGCATCGAGACCGCCGATGCAGCGCGCTGACTATTTTCCTCACAGCTCGTTCCTTGCCGGAGCCTTGCCGCTGTCCATGACGCTGTCGCATTCGCAGCTACGTCTCATCTCGAGCATCGGCGTCAGGTCCTCGTAGGGACTTCCCTCATCGTCATCATACCAGAGGGCATCCAAGCGGCCGTTACGCCGGCTTCGTCGTCCCACGCCCATCGCGCACGGAGTCTTGCGCAAAGGGCGCCGTGAAACTAGCGATCGAGGAGCGATATGAGCCCACCTTGGCTCCCGCAGCGAGCATCGATCTACGACGAGACATGGTGGGCGATGAGCTCGAGCATGAGCACGCCCTCTCGAATATTATCATTTCTCGAGCTGCGTCCGAGTCTACGGAATTGACGCAGGACACGCGCGACTCCGACTCATCCGCAAATGCGCCGGGGGCTCCCGAGCGAGACGGGGACAAGCACGGCGAGCAAGGCCACGCAGAGATTCCGGCGTTTGAAGTTGGCTTCTCCATGGTTCTGGGATTCGTCCTCATGTTCCTCATTGACAGGCTGCCCAGGCACGCGACGGAGACTTTCCAATCCGGGCCCCAGACGACGCACATGAGCCTCGACAGTCTAGGGGTGGACGGGGCCCTGGCTGACGACGAGGCCGACGGGTTCCTCGGCTCCTGACGCCGACGCCCCGGCGGGCTCGCAGCCTGGCGACTACCATTGGCTTGGTGATTCACGCGGCGGCTGACGGCATTGCCATGGGCGCATCGTCGGCAACGTCAACATGAAGCTCGGGCTCATCATCTTTATTGCCATCATGATCCACAAGGCCCCGGCCGCCTTTGGCCTGACATCGGTGCTTCTCCGACAGGGACTGTCGAAGCGGGCGGCCAGAGGCCATCTGATTGTCTTCAGCATGGCCGCTCCGGTGGGCGCGCTGGCGACGTGGCTCTTGATCAAGCTGCTCGGTGGCGATGACCTCGGGGATGCCCAGGGGCAGTGGTGGACGGGCATGTTGCTGCTTTTCTCGGGCGGCACCTTTTTGTGAGTCCAAGGGTTGGTCTCTGCTGTACTGGCATGTGTATGCTAACGATGCACAAGATATGTCGCCATGCATGCCATGGAAGAGGACGGGACATCGCACAGCCACGACCACGGCTCAGGAGCCAACGGGTACGTCGAGGGGGCCTCGGCCAACCAGCGGAAACCAAAGGGTCCCCAGATGCGCGACACGCTTGCCACGGTGGCGGGCATGTTTCTGCCTCTGCTCACACAGTTTGGTCATCATCATTGATGGTCCTTTACGCGATGAGGGGGAGGGGGATGGATTTTTGACATGCTGGCATGGTATCTAGCATGGGGGATGCATGGCGAGGCCGTTGCTCGAATCTCGACGGCGGCACCTACGATAACGGTGGCCCTGCGTAGGGTGTTTCGGCTGGAGGACGACTCTTGAGCAAAATACCACTGGTTCACCGCGGGTACCTGGATGATCCAGTACATTGGTCATGGGCCCTTGCTGCCTGGCCATGCGCCGTCGTTGCTCGCTGGTGGACAAAGGCCGGTGCAGAGGTCAGGTGTTTCAAGTCAGGGCCCATGCGCCCTCGTCTCGGCTCACCGGACTGAGCGTTTGTGGCGCCCATTACTCGTGCCCCGACGGTCTGCCGCTTCGACTGCATTCAGGCGGCGCCTGACTTGGTCGACGGATGATGGAAGGGTGAGTGGTAGGTACGTATTCCGGGCTTGTGCAAAGAGGCGCGGATACAAAGCGCGAAACGGCCATTTATCGTCCTGTGCTTGGTCAGTCAGTGCCCGCCCGCACCCGCCGGTACGCCCGAAATAGAAACGGCAACGGCGGTACGTAACTATGCTCACTGTCTCGTACAGAGCACGAGAGCCAAAGTATCGCCCATGCGTCGCACAGTCCGTCGTCAGCTGCACGTCGTGCTACATGTAAAGCCCAGAGGGTGCTGCGGTCCGAAGAAAGAGGTGGGGGGAAAGAAGCGTGGTGTCTCCAGACAAGCCGAGCCAGCTGGCAAAGGGAGTTGAGACGTAAGACATGTGGGAGCCGGCGGCGGCGGATGACGGGGCTCGTGAGACGAGGGGCGTGATGGACGAGAACTGAACCCATTGTCAGCCCAGCTGCTGTCAGGCGCATCCGGGTGCAGCGCCACCTGCGGCCGAGGTGCTTTGCTGGAGCCTTGTTATACGGGGACGGTGCAGGCGGACTGACGGACAGCAGAGACTGACACGTCTCGAGAATCGTCGGCCATCTCCCATGACCTGGTCTACGCCGGCATGCTTGCTCCCGCCGTCCAACCGCCGCCTGCTGCAAATACAGTCCAGAATATAATTACACACATACCTGCTTGGCAGCATGGCGGCGATCCCGTGCTCAGCCAATCCTCCGATGCCGAGCACTTGGCAGCTCGTACGAGGTCAGTCTCGACGTACATTCAGGGTACTGATCTGCCCACGGGCCAGGTAAGTACCTACCTACCTTACTGTACTCTGTGCAAGTGATAATACTGTAGTACCGATTTGCTGTCGAGCATGACGCGAGAAGAGGGCGCCGACCTTGATCGCATCTCGCTCGACAGCAGCCGCCCGGCTCCTCCCCCGGCCCCTCCCCCGGCCCCTATCTTTGGCCAAATGGTGCCTGGCCCAAGTCTCCTTGCCGGATGTGGAATCGAAAGAAGCAAAGAGTTGGGTACTGTAATTTGCCGGCTTCTGCAGCCCAAGATGCAACGTCTGGACGGATGATGCATGAGGGTGCGCGTCTACAGCACCAGGTGCTCTCACCGGCCGGGCGCCGCGGATGCTGGGTACTTGTGGTGCCGCTGCAGCTTGGCGACATGTCTGTGTATTCTGCGTTGTTGACGGATATTTTATCACATCCACTTCCAGGTCAATAGACATGGTTCAGGCATCGAGTGGAAGGCAGCTATCGCACTGTACGCGCACTCGTGCGGTGGAGATTCTGCCCGGCAGCCACACTGTGCGCGTACCCAGTCTACTAATCACACCCACGACGGACGACACTCTCAATTCCGAACTGACGTTCTGGGACACCAATCGACGCCAATTTGACTGCTAATTGCTAGGAAATCTTGGAGGTTGGAAAGACCCATCTCTGCTGCACGGTAGCACGCGCCTGCTGCCAAAGAGTCCCCGCCATATCCGTGTGCCCAGCGTGTCGGCCGGTTCTGCGGTAAATACAGTGCCTTGACCGCAACCTTGACACTGTCCCGCCGGCGGAGGTTGCATGCAGATGCACGGCGGGAACGGCAGCCGCCGCCGCCAGCTGTTCAGAGCCGCCCAGCCGCTGCGCTGCCCGCTGGCACGGGCCATTTTTCCTTCTTCTTTGCCGCCATGGTGCTAACGCCGCCGCGCTGTTTGCTCTTCTGCGAGCCAAAACCCCAATAAATAAACGGAATTGCTTGCTTTTGTGCCGATGCCGGCCGAGTCATGTCTACCGCCATCTTCAGTGCGCTTAGCAGTGCTTTTTGGCCTGCCGTAAATCCATGACTTGAAGACAGCCAGCCGGTGCGGCACGTACTGTACCGGCACATGTACAGTGCACGCCCCCTTCTGAACAGGCGGCAGGTACATACTCCGCACTGCGAGCACGGGACGCCAAGAGGCCCCCGCACGCTGCTGTCTCTCCCCCCCGTGAGATTTGATGCACTGCTAAAACCCGCTGTCCGCTGTGCTGCACAACCCACTGCACTCCCCCGGGCCGTCACTCGTCAGTGCTCTTCAGAGCCTAAATAGCCCATTCCTCCCGTGGACCCATCCACCCACACCGGTACCGCGCCCAGCCCCCAGCCCCCAGCCCCAGAGCCCCTGCTGCTCCTCCACTCCTCCTCGCCTTCTCTCACCTTTGCTCGCTCAACTCACGCTCACTCGCTTCCCATCATCTCAACCGACGATCGATTGATCGCATCTTGGCTGCGCGCGCCTCCTCCTCCTCGCTCCTCCTCCCCGCCTTCTCATTCATCCCTCCCCATCCACATCCTCACCTGCTCCTCGCGCCGTCTTGCTCGCCAGCCTAGCGAACGGGGCTTTCTCTACAAAGTACGGGGCCTTTGCCGCGCAAAGTCAAACCTTGCCCCATCCCTTCACTCTCTCTTCGTACATCGCCGTCAATCGCTGGCCCACCCGTCGTCCACTTCGCGCCCGGGCTCACCGTTTGCCAGGGGAACAGAACAAGAAAAGGGTGCTTCAAGCTTGTGCCGTTTTCATCCTCTGCCCCCCCTCCCTGGCCCCCCACGCGGCGTCTGCTCTCACTTTAGGGCCGTCTCCTGATCTTGCCCGCCCCATGCCACTTGCGGCTACAGGTATGCCTTTCCGTTAGCGCCTCGTCCCCCTCCTCTCCATCCATGACCGTCTACGTCTTGCTCGCTTGCCTTCCGGCCCGAAGACACCACATGCAAGCCTCCTCAATACCAACCAGCGTCCAAATACTCTGCCTCCTGCATCGCTCCTCAAGTCGTGGGCGCGTTCTGCCGCGCCCTGTACAAGAGCTGACGTGACCCGCTCTGGGCTCGCTTTAGGCGCTGCTGACGTCGGCGCCCGGTTCGCTCTCCAAGTCATCGACGACGGCTCCCCAAGCATCGTGCACTCGCCGCCGCCATTCCCGACTGCCTCGCCCGTCGCTGCGACACATCATCGACGTCGAGAGGCCAGGTCATGGCCGGCTACGAGCGACCATGAGCTTCTCCCAGAGGAGAGTAGCCTCCTCAGCGACGAGCTCGCCCTCAACACCAACAACTCGGCCATGAGCCAGCGCTTGGAGAAGCTGCCCCAGCAGCGCCAACTGCGGGGCCCCAACTAAGCATGCCCGCCTGCCGCCGACTACGACCAGCAGCTGACGGGTTCTCCGCCGCCGCCCCACGCCCGCCGCTTCCCCGGTCCTGCACATTGCCAGCCCGACTGGAGCGACGCCGCCGACGACGAAGACTTCTTCCTTTCCAAGGTCCGCCAGCACTTTAAGGGCTGCTCGGGGCCGCAGCGGACACGGATATTAGCAGACCTCCTCAACCTCTGCACCAGCCCGCAGCTGAGTTTCGTCCATCAATTTGTCAGCCCGCTCTTGAAGAAGGATCCCTTTACTAGCTTGCCCGACGAGCTATGCCTGAGGTGAGAAGCCCCTACCTCTCCGCATACCTTTGGCGTCACCGTCTAATCCAGTGCCTAGATTTTGTCCTTTGTCGACGACCCCAAAGTCCTGGCTCGCGCGTCACAGGTCTCAAGCGGTGGCGGGATCTCCTTGGCGACGACATGACATGGAAGAACCTCTGCGTCAAGCACGACTACGGCCGTCGGCTATCAGAAGTCAACTCACTATCGCCTATCCTGATGAAATCTAACGCCTTGACTCCTGCAACATGGACACGGAGATGACGGTCAGCAACAGCTTTCCCGGCTCCCACCCCCCATTTTCCAGCCACCCGTCAGGGTCCCGTAGCTTTGACGGCACGACCGAGAGGCCGAAGCTGCGAACCTACAAGTCTCACTTCAAGCAACGCTATCTGGTGGAGGCGGCATGGCGCTCGCGCGGAACTAGCGTGCACAGAAACATCACGCAAGAGGCGGCGTCGTCACCAGCCTGCATCTAACTCCCAAGTACATCATCGTGGCCCTGGATAACGCCAAGATCCACGTCTTCGACACCGAGGGCGACTCCAGCGCATCCTCCAAGGCCACGTGATGGGGTCTGGGCCATGGTCCCGTGGGAAGACACCATGGTCAGCGGCGGCTGTGACCGCGACGTGCGTGTGTGGGATCTCAAGACGGGTAGGTTGATGACCTTGGCCATGGCAAGGTTCACCGGAAGCTTATGCGTGCATAGAGCCTGTTTGCATACCCTCCGCGGGCACACCTCGACGGTCCGATGCCTCAAAATGGCAGATGCAAACACCGCCATCTCCGGATCGCGAGACACCACCCTCCGAATCTGGGACATCCGAACGGGACTCTGCAGAAACGTGCTCGTCGGGCACCAGTCAAGTGTTCGATGCCTGGAGATCAAGGGGGACATTGTCGTTTCCGGGAGCTACGACACCTTTGCTCGGGTATGGAGCATCTCGGAGGGTCGCTGTCTGCAGACATTGCAAGGCCATTTCAGCCAGATCTACGCCATCGCCTTCGACGGCAAAAGAGTGGTAACGGGCAGCTTGGATACGAATGTGCGGGTGTGGGATCCTACGACTGGGTAAGCCGTCTCGTGACGTCCTTTCTGCCTCTCCGGGTCTTATCTGATACCAAGTTTACTGACAATCATCGCAGGGAGTGCCTGGCCATTCTCCAGGGCCACACGTCCCTCGTCGGTCAGTTGCAGATGCGGGAGACACTCTGGTGACTGGAGGATCCGACGGGTCTGTCCGAGTCTGGTCGCTGGAGAGGATGTGCCCGATTCACCGGCTTGCCGCTCATGACAACAGTGTCACCAGCCTGCAGTTTGACGATACTCGTGTCGTCAGCGGCGGTAGCGACGGTCGGGTCAAGATTTGGGATTTGAAGACTGGGCACCTCGTGCGCGAGCTGATTGCCCAGGGCGAGGCGGTGTGGCGAGTGGCGTTTGAAGAGGAAAAGTGCGTCGCGCTGGCTCTGAGACACGGTCGGACCGTGATGGAGGTGAGTAGTGCCAGGCTGCAGCGCCGCAGACTCTATGACTAACGCGTTGCAGGTCTGGTCTTTTTCTCCGCCAGAAGAAAAGCAGTATGAGCGCCCACTCTCGCTTCAGCAGCGCGTCCTCGAAGATGATCCCGAACGACCGTCGAGCGCCAGGCTGGAATATCGGGCAGGCAAGGCACCATTCGCCTGCCCCAGCCAAGACACGGCAGCGCAAGACGTCGACATGCAGGATGCCGGCCCCTCGACGGCTCCGTTGCAGGGCGGCAACAAGACATTCTTCCTTCCATGATGACTAGACGGCATTTCGCTGCCGGCTTCCCAGACTGCTGGGCCGGCTATACATTGCCGGAAGCGGAACACAGCCTCTCATATGACTCCACAACGGGCCGAGCCTACGCTGTCGGCGCGGACGACTCGTTTACTTTGGTATTATGTATTTTCGCGCGCTTCAGGCTATAGAACGCGAAGGGGATCTGCGGACAGCATGTTAACGGCGTTGCGACTTTATTGGGGCGAGCATAGCAGGACGGGAATATTGCATCACCTACCATCGACAAAGACATGGGAGAGGGCGGGACGTGGAGGCATGAGGGTTTCAAGGGGAGCTCGAAGCTCGAGGCGAGCCAGGCGTTGCGCCGAGGGGCTGACAAGGAAGGCCAGATTATCGGTAGGAATAATACCTACCAAAGATATGGGAGGGGATAGTTTATTCAATCAAGATGACGCTTGGGACCCGACTTAAGTTGTCTTACCAAGACAGTTGGTTGCCTGCCCAGTGGAGAGCTACCCCATGTCGCGTCACGTGAACATGCGCTAGTCCTGCTCTGACGCTAGCGCCATCCAACACGGAGCTCAACGCTCAACACCGCGAAATCTCGGAGCCCGTGTCCATCGAGAAGAGCAACCGTAATTCCTCGCCGTCAGCCTTCCCCGACTCAATCGACCCGAGGCGCCCTCAGCCCCCCGCCATGTTCTCCCGAGCTCTCAGAGTCCCTCGAGCGGTGCCGCTATGTGCCCGGGCCCGGGTGCCGCTCACCGCCCGGTCTGTCACCACGGACGCCGCCTCTTCGTCCCTGAGCCACTCCGTCCCCAAGGTGAGCTGTCGTCGGCCTGTGGTTTGGCTCGTTGCCATGACTGCGTAAAGAATGCTTGGCGATTTCGGCCTTCCCTTCTAATGCCTTCTTGCGCAGGCCGAGGATGAGCCTTTCCAGGTCAACCTAAGCGACGAGCTTCGAAACATACGAGCTGGATCCGCCACCCTACAGTATCGCCACCACCAAGCAAGACCTCAGGAAGATGTACTACGACATGGTCTGCATCAGGTACGCAGCCAGTGGCTTCCAGCTTACAGAGACTGTAGCTGGACGAGCGTCGGCTGATAATCGCGCAGGCAGATGGAAATGGCGGCCGACCGCTTGTACAAGGAGAAGAAGATCCGTGGCTTCTGCCACCTATCGACCGGCCAGGAGGCCGTGGCCGTAGGCATTGAGCATGCCATCACCAAACAGGACGACCTCATCACTGCCTACCGATGCCACGGTTTCGCCCTGATGCGAGGCGGCACCGTCCGGTCCATCATCGGAGAGCTGCTAGGCCGACGCGAGGGCATTGCTTACGGCAGGGCGGCTCCATGCACATGTTTTCCAAGGGCTTCTACGGCGGAAATGGCATTGTCGGTGCTCAGGTCCCCGTCGGCGCTGGCCTGGCGTTTGCGCACAAGTACAACGACAGCAAGACGGCAACCATTATCCTGTACGGTGACGGCGCCAGCAACCAGGGCCAGGTCTTTGAGGCCTTCAACATGGCCAAGCTATGGAACCTGCCTGCGCTGTTCGGCTGCGAGAGTGAGTTTGCCCCCACTACCTTGGATCGACGGCCGAAGGAACCATGTGGACACTGACTGGCAAACATTGCAGACAACAAGTACGGCATGGGCACCTCGGCTGCCCGCTCCTCGGCCCTGACCGACTACTACAAGCGCGGGCAGTACATTCCGGGTCTCAAGGTTAACGGCATGGACGTTTTGGCTGTCAAGGCGGCTGTCAAGTACGGCAAGGAGTGGACTGCGTCGGGCAAGGGCCCTCTGGTCCTGGAGTACGTCACCTACCGCTACGGCGGTCACTCCATGTCCGACCCCGGCACCACGTACCGCACGCGCGAGGAGATTCAGCGCATGCGCTCCACCAACGACCCCATTGCCGGGTTGAAGCAGAAGATCCTGGACTGGGAGGTGACGAGCGAGGACGAGCTCAAGAAGATTGACAAGGAGGCGCGCAACCACGTCAACGAGGAGGTTGCGGCCGCCGAGGCCATGGCCGTGCCGGAGCCGAAGCCGTCGATTCTGTTCGAGGACATCTACGTCCGCGGCACCGAGCCGCAATTCATCCGTGGGCGCACCCCGGACGAGAACTTCTACTTTTCTCAGTAGGCGCGCACCTGTAATGACTTATTCAAGCTTCTGCCTTTGTACTATAAACCTGATAGAGGGCGGCCAATCAATCCCAGATATTTCCTTTGCTCTGCTTCTCCCGCTTTCTTTGCGATGCGCGCAATCCGAGCGATGTCCGAGTGCCGGACCGGGTCACGTGATAAACGCGCCGTGACCTGATCCCTGTCACGAAGCCAATTAACGCGAACCTTCTGCCTAGAGCCAAGGCGCGTCATGTTCAGGTCGCCAGCCAGTTTCGCGTGCGTCCACAGCTCTCGTCGTCCCGTCCTCACGCTGGCCTCGCAACGATTTTGCTGCAGTCTGCTCCGCCTCACAGCACTTCGGCCCCCATCCCAAAGACTGTGTATCATGGCGCCAAAGCAGGCGACTCTGGGGTACGTCAAGCCCAGGCAAGCCACGTTAGGGTGCGTGGCAAGGCAGAGAGGCTGCCTTGGGCACTGTCGCAACTCCTGTGCATTTGCTGACCGGCGCTTTGCGGCTTGGCAGAAAGTTCTTTGGAGCCAAAGGGCCGCGCCCAGCAGCAGACCAAGTTGACCTTTGCCACCAAGACGAGGCAGAACGAGGCAGCGAATGGACATGGCGAGGCAGGTGTGAGCACCAAGGGGAACTCAGACTCGGAGAAGGGTAGGTTCTTCAGCTGCGACTCCTCACCATGAATTGCAGGCCGGCTGACGCGGAGGCTAGATGGCAAGAAGCGAGCACGACTGGCCGACCAGGACACCACGAAGAATGAAGTCGACGAGGAAGACGACGGGCCGGTGGTCAAGCGCGCAAGAAGAAGCCGGAATCGGGTTAAGCCTGAGGAAGAGGAAGACGGTGTTGGGGAGGAAGGGGTCAACATGGAAGAACAGCCTCCAGCTGTCAAAGGAGAGTTCAGCCAGTCCAAAACCGAGAAGGGTCGCCGGGCCAAGCCAGAAAACGTCGTTGACGACGGTCTAAAGAAGAATCGACAGCCGAGTCCGCGTCGGAAGCAGAGGAAGATGCCGAGGCGGACGAGGAAAGGCCGAGGTTTCTGCTGCCAAGGCACGAGAAAGGCCCAGACTCGGCTCAAAACCAGAGCGAGCACCCCTTCCCGACTGGAATCGGGGCTCCAGTGCCGTACGCCGCGCTTTGCCAGACATTCTCTCTCATTGAGATGACGACGAAACGATTGGTGATCATGGAGCATTGCGCGCTGTTCCTGCGGCAGGTCATGCGGCTCACCCCCGACGACTTGTTGCCCACGGTCCTCCTCATGGTCAACAAGCTCGCGCCCGACTACGCTGGCATCGAGCTTGGCATTGGCGAGTCCTTGATCATGAAGGCCATTGGCGAGACGACGGGACGCAGCCTTCCGGTCATCAAGGCGGATCAAAAGGATATTGGTGACCTGGGGCTGGTCGCAGTCAAGAGCAGGTCCACGCAGCCCACCATGTTCAAGCCGAAGCCGTTGACGGTCCGAGGCGTTCACCAAGGCTTGATGGGTATTGCGACGGTGACTGGCAGCGGTGCGCAAAGTCGCAAAGTCGACGGCATCAAGAAGCTATTGTCAGCGGCCGATTCTTGCGCCACCGGCAAGGTCGACATCACCAAGGACAAGGGCGGGCCGAGCGAGGCCAAGTTCATCATCCGGTTTCTCGAGGGCAAGCTCCGGCTTGGACTCGCCGAGAGGACCGTACTGGTGTCTCTAGCCCAGGCGATTGTCTGTCACGAAGCCGATCAAAAGGACAAGGTGCCGACCACGACGGAGCTAGAAAACGGCGAGTCAATCCTCAAGACCGTCTACAGGTGAGTTGGTGTCATTGATACTTTGAGGGAGCCGCAGGAGCTGAGCCGAGCGACGGCGAGTGCGAGCAGGGAGGCGGCAAGCGGGGTGGCTAGCATCTTTTCGCGAAACTCGGAGGATCTGTCCAAAAAGTACCCCGATATTCTCGCCAAGCTCCATTCCTGGGTCAAGCAAGACACGATGAGCTTTGTGCTCGACTGCGAGACGGTGGCATGGGACGTGGACGAGAAGAAGGTGCTCCCCTTTCAGCAGCTGATGACGCGGAAGCGCAAGGACGTCAAGGTGGAGGATGTCAAGGTCAAAGTGTGCGTGTTTGCCTTTGACCTGCTTTACCTGAACGGACAGCCCGTGGTGGAGAAGCCGCTTCGGGAGCGGAGAGAGCTGCTCCGAGAAGCGTTTACGCCCGTGGAGGGAGAGTTTGGCTTCGCCACGTTCATGAACGGCCAGGAGCTGGATGAGATCCAAGACTTTCTCGACGAAAGCGTCAAGGCTTCGTGCGAGGGGCTGATGGTCAAGATGCTGGACGGCACCGAGAGCGGATACGAGCCCAGCAAGCGCAGTCGAAACTGGCTCAAGGTAGGGCGGGCTGCTCCCATCCGGCTTTGGAGCGTGGGCTGACATGTTGATCAACAGGTCAAGAAGGACTATCTGTCAGGCATCGGCGACTCGCTCGACCTCGTTGTGCTGGGGGCGTACCACGGCAGGGGCAAGCGGACATCGGTGTACGGGGCCTTTTTATTGGCATGCTACAACCCGGCGACGGAGACGTACGAAACAGTGTGCAACATCGGCACGGGCTTCTCGGAGCAGGTGCTCGAGGAGCTGCACGCACAGCTGTCGGCCATCACAATCGACCGGGCCAAACCGTTCTACTCGCACTCGGGGGGCGGGCAGCACCAGCCCGATGTGTGGCTGGAGCCGCGGTACGTGTGGGAGGTGAAGACGGCGGACCTGACGCTCAGCCCGCGGTACAAGGCGGGCTGCAAGGAGGCGTGGACCCGGCGGGCGGCAAGGGCATCAGCCTGCGGTTCCCGCGCTTCGTCAAGGTGCGCGACGACAAGAAGCCCGACGAGGCGACGAGCAGCCGGCAGGTGGCCGACATGTACCGGAAGCAGGAGAGCGTGACCAAGAGCAAGGGGCCGGCGGTGGACGATGACTTTGAGTACTAGCGAATTACTACGTGTCGCGTGTTGCATGACTCAGGTCGTGTCGCGACGTGGGCGGGTGCATGAGGATCGCTTCGACGCTGGGTCAACGGCACGAGGATACGGGGCACGAAGTGGTTGGATGTTTACGTATCCACGACGCGGAATAGATGTTTGCTCGGCCTTGTCGATGCTGCTGTGCTGAAGTTGAGACAGCTCTTTTCCTCTTCGCGCCCCGCCAGCCCCCGCGCGCCACGCCAATGTGAAAAACGGGGCCTGAGTCATCTTCCCAACTTACCTCCTACTCGCCCGTCCGGCAAACGCCAATTTTTCGCGGGCCTTGCAGATTGGTCCGCCAATTGCTCGTTGCGCAACCGACAAGATGAAGTACGTGCTGGTCTCTGGAGGTCGGTATCCCCTCTCGCGCTCGTACTCGTCTCGTCTGGTGCCTCTCTCTGCTTGCAGGTGTGGTGAGCGGCGTGGGCAAGGTATCATCGGTATGCTGCTCGCCTCGGACGCCCGGTTTCCTCGCTGACGCACTCAAGCTTCGTCGGCGGGGCTGTTGCTCAAAACGATTGGCCTCAAAGTCACGGTATGCCTGTCGGACATGAAGCCCGGTTTCCAATCTGGGCTGACGAGCCTGCATATAGGCTATCAAGATCGACCCGTACATCAATGTCGACGCCGGCACCATGAACCCCAAAGAGTGAGCCCGAGCTGCTCTGCTCTCGTCGCTGGCTTTGCTGACGGTTCACCCAAAAAAAAAAAAGGCACGGAGAGTGCTTTGTGCTCAAAGACGGCGGAGAGTCTGATCTGGATCTTGGAAACTACGAGCGGTATGGCAGCGGGCCCCGAAGCGCCCCCGAGCTGACCTTGTTGCTGCTAGCTATCTGGGCCTTGACCTTACCAGAGACAACAACATCACCACGGGCAAGATATACAAGCATGTCATTGAAAGGGAGCGCCGCGGCGCTACCTGGGCCGCACCGTCAGGTCGTTCCCACGTCACCTCTGCCATCATCGACCACATCGAGCGCGTCTCCAAGATCCCCGTTGACGGGTCCGACTCGGAGCCGGACGTGTGCGTGGTATGTTGCTGCATCTTGGGTCCCCGTGTCCGCCGCGACTAACATGACGCCTTAGTCGAGTTGGTATGTGCCCGCCGCTCTGCCGCCTCCCGTTCCTTGTTCCTCTAACGTCGAATCAAGGGCGGCACCGTTGGCGATATCGAGAGCATGCCTTTCGTCGAGGCCCTCCTCAGCTCCAGCACAAGGCCGGCAAGGGCAACTTCATCAACATCCTCGTCTCATACATCCCCATTGTCAACGGGGAACAAAAGACGAAACCCACCCAATACGCCGTTAAGAGTGTCCGTAGTGCTGGCCTCATCCCTGACTTGGTAAGAGCGTTCCCGTCCCGCTCGCTCTTCATACTACTATGCTAACCCGGGAAAAGATTGCGTGCCGCTGCGAGCGACCCCTGGAAAAGGTCACCATGGGCAAGATTGCCCAGAGCTGCCAGGTCGAGGTCGAGCAGGTCGTGGCTGTCCGCGATATGCCCACCATCTACCAGGTCCCCATCTTGCTGGAGCAACAGGGCCTTCTCGAGCTCCTGCGCCACGCACTGGTCCTCGACAAGGTGTCGCTGACGCCGGCCCTGGTGACCAAGGGCGCAGAAGTCTGGAAGAAGTGGAACACAATCATTCCGCAGGAGCACTCGGAGAAGATTGACATCGCCCTGGTGGGCAAGTACGTTGAACTCCTGACGCCTACCTATCCGTCGTCAAGTCCCTAGAGCACTCGACGATGCGGTGCGGTCGAAAACTAAACCTAATATGGGTCGATTCTGAGCAGCTGGAAGACAAGACGCAGCACAGCGACCCGTCGGCTTCTACAAGGCGTGGCACCAGGTCTCCACCGCCGCCGGCATCCTGGTCCCCGGCGGCTTTGGCCAGCGCGGCACCGAGGGCATGATCAAGGCGGCCCAGTATGCTCGTGAGCGCAAGAGGCCCTTCCTGGGCATCTGTCTTGGCATGCAGATTGCCGTGATCGAGTACGCGAGGCACGTCTGCGGCAAGGCCAAGGCCACGTCGGAGGAGTTTGATGCCCAGGCCGAACACCGCGTCATCATCTTTATGCCCGAAGGTTCCAAAGACACCATGGGCGGCACGATGCGCCTCGGCTCGCGGGCGACGCACTTCCAGCCCGGCAGCGACCACAGCAAGCTCCGGGCGCTGTACGGCGAAGCCACCGTCATCGAGGAGCGCCACCGCCATCGCTACGAGGTGAACCCCGACTACGTCGACGAGCTCGAAGCGGCCGGCATGACGTTTGTCGGCAAGGACGACTCGGGCAACCGCATGGAGGTGTTTGAACTCCGACCACCCGTGGTTCGTCGGCGTGCAGTACCACCCCGAGTACCTGAGCCGCGTCCTCGACCCCTCGCGCCCCTACCTGGGCTTCGTCGCCGCCGCCGCCGGCTGCCAAGGTGACGCAGGACGCCCTCAAGGAGAAGACGCTGGTTGTCAACGGGGCCCTGGACGGTACCAAGTTTTGACGGGCTGGCGGCGGAAGCCCCGGCGGGAGTTGGCGGAGGAGGAAAGGTACCGTTTTTTTTGCAATTTTGGCTTCACAGGGAGGTTCAGCAGAGGCAGAGATGGCGCGGGCGAAACTAGACACGGTACAGGGCTTTGGGACGGTTCACGGCGGCATTGCACGAACGTATTGTCGGGACATGGGATGATGGGTGTGTTTGCCGAGTTTCTCCTTTCTTGTTCACTCTGACTTGATCTCGGTGATGATAGACCATATCCTGATTGTTATACATGAGGTGTTTTTTTTTGCGCGCTGGGGTGACGTTGCGCCATGCTACTCGTTGGTACGAGATGGAATATAAAAAGTTTTTAAAAATATTATTAGCATGCGCCTTGGGCTCTGATCCTTCTCCTCCTCGTTCTCCCGTGGTGCTTCCGTCGAGATGCCCCGTCTTGCCCTTGTTCTCTCCCATTCTTCGCCCAGGCGGCACGGCACCGTCGATGCCCCTCTACAGTATCGAGCGTCTATCCTCGTCGGCCATGCCCTCTCCGTCATCCGTCGTCGCATCCTCGCCGCGCAGCAGCCCGCGCTCCTCGACCCCCGCCTCCTCGAGCGAGGAGGCGCGGCGCCTGATCCCATCGGCGGCGACGGCGGCGCGGGAGAAGGCCAGCGCGGCGGGCAGCGGCGTCGTCGTCGCCGCCGCCGTCGAGGACGTACCAGACGTCCTTCTTGGTCAGCAGGCCGTGGAGGACGCCACGGTCGCTGAAGAGGACGTAGCGCAGGCCGAGCTTCCGGAAGTAGGAGACGGCGAGGTGCAGGCTGGTGCGCGAGGGGAGGGTCAGGGGCGTCTGGTCCATCCAGGGGCGCAGGTCGAGGGTGGAGCGCGGGTCGGCGAGGGGCTGGTGGGCGAAGAAGACCTCGGTGTCGGGCGGCAGGGAGCGCGGCGGCGCGGCGGCGGTGCGGATGTTGTAGCTCAGCTCGGCGCGTGAGATGTAGCCGAGCAGGACGGCGTCGCGCGGGTCCGAGATGACGGGAAGCCGCGGTAGGGGTGCATGTGCAGGATGGTGGTGAGGAGGCGATGCTGTGGCCCGTGGCGGTGAGGACGACGAGGTCCTCGATGCGCGTCATGATCTGGGCGGCGGGCACGTCGGGGATGGCAATCTCCTCGCTGCTGTCGAGAAGGGGTACTCGTTGAGGTGGATCCACGACTCGTAGATGCCGCGGCGCGAAGGCGTCGCCCACCCTTGGACAGCATGACGGCCACCATGATGGGCAGCACGTACGTCAGGGCGCCCGTGAGCTCAAACATGATGACGACAATGGACACGGTCATGCGCGTGACGCCGGCGAGGGCCGCCGCGGCGCCGACGATGGCGTAGGTGCCGGGCGTGACGCAGGGGGTGTCGGGCGCGCACGACGACGCGAAGACGATAAAGCCCGGGTGGCTGGCAACCCAGATCTCCATGACGATGCCGACGGCGCGGCCCGTGAGGGCGCCAATGGCCATGGACGGCAGGATGATGCCCGCGGGGATCTGCAGGCCAAACGTGATTGTGGCGAGCAGGAAGCCCAGCACGGCGGCCAAGATGAGCAGGACAATGGTGCTGGCCGACGCAGCGCCCGTCTTGCACAGGCCGACCTGGTCGTCGAGGACCCGCGCGCAGTCGGCAAAGAGGTTGGACACGAGCTCCGACGACTGCACCTTCATGTAGAAGTTGGGGTAGTTGATGAGGGCCGTCAACAGCGCCACGGCCGACACCTGCGCAACAGGCCCGGGCAGCCAGGCCGTGGCCTTTTTCCACCGCGCGACGGCCATGTTGGCCTTGATGAAGAGGCCGCCGTACACGCCCTGCCGGGGGTTGGTCAGCCCAACACGGAGGCAACGGATGACGGGTGCCGGACACGGCAAAGGACAAGGGACATACCCCGAAGATGCCCAGGAGCGCATAGGGGACAATCTCGAAGCCGTGCCAGTCGACGCTGTACTTTGTCTGGTACAAGACGAGCTTGCCGGAGCGAAAGGGGTCCAAGGCTTGGAGCGCGACGGCGGCCGTCATGGCGCAGACGAAGCTCTGCCACATGGTCTTGTCCGGGAAGTAGTACGAGAGTTGCTGTTGCAGCGTCAGCCGAGTCAAGTGTGAAGCAGTGGCGAGAGAAGGGCTGCGAGTACCTCGAGACTGAACAAGACGCCGCCGATGGGGGAGCCAAACGCAACCGAAATGCCCGATGCGGCGGCCGCAGAGAGCACCTCTCGCTTGCGAGCTGGGTCGAGTCAGCCGTCTGCCTCCAAAGGAGCGTGCGGGGCGGCAGGCTCACCCTCGTTGTATCTGATGTTGCCAAAGAGTTTGATGAAGAGGTTTGCGCAACAGCAGGCGACGTGAACAAGCGGGCCCTCCTTTCCCAGCCACATGCCAGAGCCGACGGCTAGAATCTGCTGCTGGTGAGCCAACACAGCCGGAGAGCACGGATGGGACAAGAAACGCACCAGGCCGAGCGATTTGGTAACGAGCGTCCAGGTCCCGAGCAGCCTGCGCATGACGAAGCCGCCCAGGATGGTCTTGATCTCCGGGATGCCGCTGTGCTTGGCGAGGATGGCATACTCCTGAACAAGCAGGGCAGCGCAGTATGCCAGAGTGACCTTGATGCCCGTATTAGCACTCGCCGAAAAGCCCAAGAGAAGCTTGCGTACTGAAAGACGAGGAAGAAGAAGTATTCAATAACCCACTTGCCGCCGCCGCCATGGACGCCGAGGCATCGCTCCAGTACTTCCAGCCCAGGCAGTTGGAGCCCTGGTCGTATCCGTAGCAGCAGAAGTTCTTGTTGAGGTAAAGTGTCCTCCTCAGGGCCGCTGGAGCAGAATCCCAGCTTGAGGTCGGCCAGCCAGTCGGTTGTGATGTCGATGACGGCAGCAATGGCGCCGACGAGGAGGCCGGTGAGGACCAGGACAATCCAGACCTGGCTGGCATCCAGCAGGTGCTTGAAGTAGCCGAGCAGACCGCTCGCGCTCGACAGCGCGCGCAGCCTCTGGCGCTCCTTTGTATATTCGAAGATCCAGTCAATGGCCGTCAGGTCCTCGTAGCCGACGCGGCGGCCGGGGCCCTCGGTGTGCCAGTCGAGCGGCAGTCCATCCTTGGCCGCCGCCGGGCCGAGGCCATGCGAGGCGGCGGGCGACTGCTGGCGCCGGGGGGACGAAAGGTCGGGGCGCCGCGAGCGGGCGGCGAGGGAGAAGAATCGCGAGGGCGCCGACAGCAGCGACGGCTTCGGCTTGCGCTTAAAGGACAGCGGCACGGTCAAGCCGTCGGCGGTGGGGTCGTCGTCGAGGACGTCGCCGTCGCCTGGATGGCGGGCGAGCGAGACATCTTCTTCGTCGTCGTCGTCGTCGTCGCCGTCGTCGTCGCCCAAGAAGTCGAGCTCGTCGCGGCCGTCCGAGGGAGGCGGCGTGTACGCCGGGGGCGAGTGAGACGACGACGAGGCCGAGGCGAATGCATGGTCGCTCGGGGCAGCCCTAGACATGGTGCTGCGGCTCATCCCATTTTCCGAATCTGCGTGTGCCGGGTTGGGAGGATGGCAGAATTCTTGTACATACGTTGCCGCTTCGTGTCTCTGGGAGAGAGGCTGATGCGACGGAGTGTTAGTGAGGTGTCGAGTTGGTACTTGGGGATGCTAGAAACAGTTGAAAGATGAGGTAGTCGAGGACGTCATTGCAAGTTGGTCCAGGGCCTTGAAAGGCAACTGTGGATACTTGATCATTAGCACATGTCAGACCGTGCAAGTACCTCTCCGTACCGCGAGATCGAGCTCGAATCTCGTCTCCACCAACCACCATCACGACATTGTCAACTGAGCCTTCATCAATCATCGAAAACGACGTCTTGTTGCCCGAGTAGATTCTCCGTCACCTGCAGTCTCTCACTTACTCCAACAGCTTGCAAACTTTCTTACTCCCGCCCGCGGCCATGGCGCCTTGAACGTGCCCTTGGTGCGGACCTCGAAAAAGCCGTCTTCTTCACAATCACATCCACAATCATGGATCCGACAGGCTCAGAGCCTCTCCAGAGCGGCGGCGCAAGCCCTGCCGTGCCCGGTGGACCGGCTGCCGACGTCGCCAAGATCTGCGACCTCTTGCGGGCAAAGGACGACACGCAGAGGTTCGTCGGCCTCGCTCTGCTCAAGTCGGTCCTCGACAACTCGCCCCAGCTCCGCCAGGATGACCAGGCCGTGCAGTTTCTGTGGCAGAGCCTCTCGTCCAAGTTTCTCGACAGGCTGCTGCTGACCGGCTCCAACCCGTCAAACAAGAACGCCAAGGAGATGCTCGACCTGGCCGTCTCGGTCCTGCACACCTTTGCCGCCCTTCTTCCCACGCAGCTGAGGGCCGAGCCCAAGTTGACGGGCCGGATACCCGGGCTCGTTGATGCCGTGCTGCACAGGTGGGCAAACTTGACCATCGACCGCCTATTCCCTGGTCCTAACTCTGCGTCGCCAGCTCTGAGGAGACCACCAAGCTCGTCCTGCAGCTCCTCCACACCCTGGCAAGCTCCCCCGAGGGAGCCCGCGCCCTCGTCGGTGTCCAAGACTTGAGCCCTCTCACCGAGATTGCCCCTGCCAATGCCCTTGTCCTGGACATCCTTCGCTTCGCCTGGCTCAACAGCATGGCAGGCGTCGAGGACAAACGAGCACTGTCCCACAGGATAGACGAAACGATTCAGAGCCTCACGTCGTCATTTACTGGCACCGACGCAATCACTTTGCTCGAGTTTCTCGCGTCATTCCTGCGGCAAGCCGACTCCACGGTAAGCTAAACACAAGTGAGCTGCAGCAGACCCGATGCTCACTCCATGCCTAGATTCTACCCACGGAGCCAAGATGGCTCAAAGCAATCTCTGGCTACATCCAAGCCATCGTGACAAGTCGGCCCTCGAGTGAAGCAAGGTCTGCCTACACCAACGCGACCGCATCCCTTCTGCAGGCCTATCCCTCGACGACACCGAAGCTCCTGTTCACGGACAGCAAAAAGGAGGACAAGCCCTTTGCATATCTGCTCATCAGCCTCCTTCTCATCGACATTCGGTCATCGGCGCCATTGCTCCTAGAGCAGCTGAACACGCCAGGATATTCCGCAACGTCCAGGCGGCTGGCGTCGGCGTTCGACATCATCTGCATCTTCATAGGGCATCTGGTTCGATCGCTCGAAGAAGAGTCGCTCGAGGGCCTTGCCATGTCCCCAGACAGTCTGCTCAAGATTCGAAAGGGAATATCAGATACAATGTCCGTCACAATCGAGTATCTCCGGGATCGGTGGGATGCCTCTGTGGCGGGTGCCATGGGTTTGCATCCCGACGCTCGGGTCGGCAACGCCGAGACTTCGACCGGCTCTCACCGAACGCTGACATGGGACTCCATCGCCAACGCAGCCAACGACGATCCCTTCATCCTCTCTGCTGTCCGCGCTCTGGCCCTGTGGCTGCGAGAAGACGAGAATAAGCTGCTGCGCAAAGAGGCAACGGGGCTGGTCGACATGTTCATGGACCTCTACCGGGCGAGCACTCCGGAGAAACTCGACTTCAGATCGCCCGTACTGGTCGCGTTGGAGGCATTGGTGGTCCTGGATCAAGGGCGGGAGCTATTCTTGCGCCATGACGGATGGCAGATATTGAGCAAGGACTTGGCCGAGATATTCCGCAATGCCTCGGCCATGAGCCACGAAGGCGAGGCCTCTCGCGGAACTGAGATCGTTCGCATTCTTCTTCAGGTGGTGGAACAGGAATCAGGCGGTACAACAGAAGAGTGGATGAATCTCATTACCACCGTCGCCGCCTGGGACCTCTCCCCCCAGGAACGGCCGCCCGAGGTGCAAGAGTTCCAGGTTGCAGTGCTACAGCTCTCCTGCACGCTGCTGGCGAGGGCGAGCGGGGGGATGCAAGGCAGATATAGACACTCCATCGACGCCATCAGTGGCATTGCGACACAGCTAAGTCGGTGCATTGGGCGGGATAGCTTTGTCAGGGAAGCCATGGAGGACGTCATCGATACCCTGGGCGGGCTGGAGGCACACGGTAGCTGAGGCCTGTCGTGCCTCCACAGCCGCCGGTCTTGACCGCAGGGCCCGAGCTGCTGGCAACGCTGCATCTCTTCAAAATGAATCTATTCGTATGGAAAAGCTGCCGGTCGCTCGCCGTGATCGTTGCTGGCGTTCTAGCTCTGTTTCTCCTCGTCGCCACCGTGAGACGTGCCCGGCCCAGAAACCATCCACGTGTGGCGGGCGTCTCAGCCCGTCTCGACAGTCTCCCGACGGGTTTGTGCCTCGGAAACTCGTGCCTGCGCACCCTCGACTTCCCGCTTTGTCTCGGAAGCCAGCCCTTTGGCCCGCCGCTTCCGCGCCCGCCGCACCTCGATCTCAACGCTCAGCATCTCGGCGTGGACCGACGCAAGTTGCGGGATGCCCTGCTCCACCATCTCGATGGATAGGCCCTGCGCCTTGCGCAGTGCTGCCGGGGCCAAGAGGCCGAACCAGCGCAACGGGTCCTTGGCTGGCGTGGGCGCCTGCTCACGATCTGCTGTCCTTCCGACTCCTTTGTGCTCCTCGCCAGGCCGTTCATCCTCGTCCTCCTCGGGCTGCTTCTCGCCGTCCGCGATAGGGGCTTCGGCAGCAGCAGAGGACGGCGCAGGAGCATGGGCGGCGGCTCGGCTGACGGTGAAGACGGGCACATTGGCCTTGTCCTGGTGGATGCTGAGCAGCCGCGTCGCGCGCATCCTCTCGTCGTAGCTGTCCTGGCCGAATCTCATGCCGCGCTCGGCGGAAAAGTTGGCTCGTGCAATGTTCTGATAAACATCGGCTTGGAGGCCCGACAGCAGCCCTCGGAGGCGCACATAGTCGTCTAAGAGGCCGAGATAGCGCTGCAAAAGGTCGTCGATGTGCTGTTGCTCAGCGGCCATGGTGAAGATGAGGAGCTGGCGCGTCGGTGGGACAGGACAGTCGGTGCGTGCGGCCGGCGCCTGAAGGAGACAATAAGGAGGTCTTTACCAGGGACGATTATGCCGGTGATGGCGATTCCTCATCAACTCGGCTATGGCGCTCGCTGGACTTTCTTGTTGCTGCTGCTGCCGAGGACAGGACAGGTCACGTTGAGGTGAGCTCTGAAAAGTACTCGGTACAGTGCAGGCACGACAACAAGGTGGGGCTTCCATCTCTCACCTCACGCCCCTGGTTTGGCCCTTTCAACCTCGGGCCTCTCCAACGCACCCACGACTGACTGACAAACCTTCTCGACGCGTCTGCCATGCCGCCGAGGACCCATGGCCTTCACAAAGGCTGGGAAAAGAAGGGGCTGTCGGCGGTCACAACGAGTAGGCCCCATCGGCGAGGTTACCGGAACGTGTGGCTGATGCTATGCTCACAAATGACGGCAATGCCGCGACCCGGTCCCTCGGAGCGCCTCGTGCACGCGCCAAAGGCCGAGACGGGGCGGTTGGGCGCCGGACTCCCGCGGACCAAGATTGACTGCAGCCCGCCACCCCGGCTGGCTACGGCTTGTTGGAGGCAGGCCATCCCAGGCTTGGCGGCACAGGGTATGAAACATGTGCCTGCGTGACGGGAGCTCAAACGGCATGCCGGACGCAACGGCGGTCTGCGGGAGATTTCAACCAGTTCAAGACCAATCTACGTGGCCGTTACACGACCCTTCCTCGAAACCGCATACGCAACCCACGGTCGACAACAACAACGGACATGGTTCGCCACCACCGGCGCCGGAGCTTCTCGTTTTACGGCTGGATGTGAGATTCGGTGCCTCTCATAATGAATTCGTGCCAAGATTAGGAAAGGATGCCATTGCCTCGATGCTAGAAGAGAAGATAGGCGCCTGCGTTCGACAGCTCCTGGCTCTGCGGGAGAGAATTAATGATCCGTTGAGCAAGATTCTTGTGACCGGCGACGTGAACGCCGGAAAATCGACATTCTGCAATGCTCTACTGCGTCGCCGCATTCTTCCTGAGGATTAACAACCATGTACCGCCATCTTCTGCGAGGTGCTGAACGCCAAGAACTCGGATCTGGAAGAGGTCCATGCCGCCACTCCACAACACGCCTGCGATGTCTTCACGTTGCAAGACCTTGAGCAGGTCGTGACAGACGCACGGTATACACAGGGTAAGGTCTTTGTCAACGACCTGCGCACGGCAGACGAGTCTCTACTTAGTAACAAGGAGGTGGTGGACAATACTCTTATCGACGCCCCAGGCTTGAACCACGATACCACTCACACAACTGCTGTATTTGCGCGACAAGAAGAGATTGATGTTGTTGTTTTTGTGGTTTCTGCCACCAATCACTTCACAAAACGAGACTCATTAGCTAGACAGGTTGATATATCCATCGAGCTGCAAGACTTCATTGACTGGCAACCGCTGGTTTCGACTGGGAAGTTTGCTAATGCGGGCATGGCCCTCACCCTGGCTACTGCCGTAGGCGGCCGTTTGGCTGACTTACATGGGTGGTTGAACCCAGCCCTGATGTTGGCCCGCGTTGTAGATAATAACAGCTTCCGCCGGCTCCTTGTTCCAGGAGTCTTGATTGCAGGTACGTATGTGGTTGCCCTTGATTCGCGGCCAGCAAAGCTGACGTGTACTCGAGTTATCGCCGCCACTATGGCGCACATCCTCCAGCAGATCCCCCACGCTGTTCCCAGACGTCTGGCGGTTAAGGTTGCGGCACAGTTGTCCGCGATAGATTACGTGCATGCTAATTCTGCCCGCATCACCGACAGGGTGCGCAAAGTACTCCGGACCCCGGCTGAGAGTGTCCGGGGTGTGCCTGGATAGGTCCGTCCGGGATTTGGAGCAGCGGCGAGACGACATGGATAAGCTTCATAACGATAGCCACGCCGCGCTCAGGTACTTTGGCAATCTTGTGCGGGCCAGTACTGCGGAGCAGAACACTGTCAAGGAGATTAACCTCGAAGCACCACCTGCTTGTTGAATAAACTCCGGGCCAGCCTCTTACAAGTGCGTGTAGATGTAGACTCGATCATTCGGTACGGTGGGACGGCTCTAGGAAGTTTACTTATGCAAAGTCTTCTAGGGCGAATTCATGGCAACCTTCGCGTGCTCTTTAATGAAAAGGCGAGGTAGTTGTCCTATTATCTCGATCTGCTTTTCTTCTCGGACCAGCTAAGCGGTCTTTAAATCTCTCGTATGGCCAGTTCGATTACGCCAGAGTATTTCCTTCAGAACCCGCCGGCCCTTTGATGACACAATGGCTGTCAATATCGATTCAGGATGTGGTTTCCAGGCCTAGCATACAACCAAGTCTAACGGTTCGAGTGCATGAGCAAGGTCGAATGCGACTAACACGAAGTGATTGTTCAAAAGGAGAAAAGGGGATTCCTAAGGAGATCCCGACTTGGGCTATTTGCACAATGTTCAAAAACTGAGACTATCTACAAAGTATTAAAATCACGTGGTCGCTCTCTGACAGCAACCAAGCGATTGCATCGTCAATCAATTCCGTCGGGCGTGTTCTACGTAAGATATTTCTCCGTCAAGTCTATGCCCTCATCCAACTACATCGCCAGGCAGATCATAATAGTTGCCCAAGCAGACATGGGGAACTGAATTTTTTTGTAGCGCTGCTCCTAGTCTAGCCACTTATACGCTCCCTACACATCGTCGACTCCTCCTCGCTCAGAGTTCATATGTGATTATTTCCCGGGACCTGGACGAGTTTTAGTTTATGTTCTCGAGCGAGGGCCCAATATGTGTACACACTCGATCGCTTTACCAAGTTCATTGCTCGGGATATACATTAAAGTACCGTTTCTCACACGGGTAGAAAAATTCTTCGAAGGGACATAGTGTGAGCTTACGTCTAGACAGGAATACGTTAGCACCGACGATAATGCGGGCTCACACGGGGCTCTTGGACACATCGAGCAATTACAGGTAGTAAGTCTACTTGCAATATGGTGTGCTGGTAGTTGTCGTCGTCGTGTTGTTGTGTTGCTTTCGTCGCCGTTGCCCGCTGTAAATAGGGGCAGATTGTTAAGTGAGGACTGTCGGCTCCTTATAGACGTGGCAGCCCGCCTTGACTCCACATGCGATTCTTTCAGCACCCTCTGATCATAAATGGGGTCATTATAGATCATTCTTGGCCGCATATGAACTCTAACCTAGTGCTTGTTGGCCCCACGACTAGGCCAAACACGCGTGTCGTGAAACTGGAGGTTGAATGTCGTATCCTCGGTCTAAGGGCCTGATCCACGACGCCTCGTAAAGAGCGAGACGGACGTGCAGGGAGACTTACCCTGTATAAATTTAGTTCGCACGCTCGCTTATACCGTCCCACATCCTTATATAGCGATTTCTTTACTACCTTAGGGCTCTGCCGTGTTTTTTTAAAGTATCGTGCGATCGTCTTTTCTACGTGATACTAATCGCGAGGTCTCGTGGCTCGTAACTATTATGCCTCCATCGTTAGCAAGTTAGTTAAACTATTAGGAGGTTTAGAGAAGCAGAAATATACGATAGACTAACCGGTAGACCTTACGGTTCCTTAAATAGCTATTTTAAGATCATCGTCAGCCTTATCTTCGCATATAAGGCGGCTATAGAAGTCGCCGGGCAGCCTATAAGTTATCTTAGGGCTTAATAGAAAGGTATAGTTCGTAGCTCGAGGCCGCCCCGAAAGAAAAAAAGGCTCTAACGCCGCCTCTTTTCTTTCGGGGCGATATAGGCCAAAAACGGCCTTTTTCTGCCTTCCTCTTAGCATCTTTCCCTAATATAGGCATCTATGCGGCCCCTACTAGCTCGATATATCGTAGGCAGGGGTCGATATACTTCTAGGGAAGGAGGAGCTTGCACTCTTTTATTTATACCTAAAAACGGTACTAATCGGGGTGCAGATACTCTTTTACCCGAGCGGCACGTCCGTCTCGCTTTTTGCGAGGCGTTGTGGATCAGGCCCTAAATATATTAAGTCCTTCGCCCATCTTTACGCCGGGTGGTTCCACGCACGGTATATAAGTTGCTTGTCGAATAGTTACCCGTTTATGCGTTCTATATCGGCAGCAAGGGCTGCGCTTTCTTCCCGAATTAGCGGTATATACATCTAGTCGATATTATGCTACGGCTAAAGCAGCTAAAAGAAGGCTGCAGGCGGTAGCTAGTAGATTTTATCGGGGTCTTGCCCGCGAGCTTCGCCGGCAGCATTATAGAGTAATAGTTTTAGCGCTTTATATTAAGGTTTTAGTATGCCTAGTATTACTACGTTTTTATAAAGGCGGCGCCTAGCTTAGTAAGGATAACGGCGTTAGTATTTATAAGAGTCTTTAACTATTATAGGTTATAGGCTTAGGCTACGGCCTAAGCCGTATAGTTATATACGGAGGGCCGGATCCCGTATATATATATATAGGCTAGCCGCGCAAAGAGAGCTCTATATAGCTTATTAATATTATCCTACGGACGGCACCTACGCCTACGCCTCTGCCTACTCCGTGATAGTATAAGCTATTAACTAATAGATCTAATAGATATCTCTCTAGAGAGGGCGCCTCCCCCTCGAGGAAGCACTCCGCCCCTCCCTAGACGGATAGGAAGTATCGTAGCTATCCTAGAAGCAATTAAAAGCGCGACGGCTAGCGAGAAGGACGAGGTTCTCGCTATACTAGGGGAGCCGTCTACGAGACTAGCTCTAACCCCTACGGCCTCCGTAACGCCGGTTACGGCGGCGATACTACCGACGCGGAAGCCTCTCCCTTAGCCGACTTAGGACGGTAAGCCGGAGTCCTTCTACTTCTTCCTTAGCCGGCTATAAATAAAGTTTATAACCGATAAGAAATAGGGCCTAAATAGCTATTATAATATAGCGTAGTATTCGCTCCTCTATACGCTACTAGAGCCTTAGATATAGCGGATCTTTAGATTCTAAGATAAGGGCGGCCCTAGGGGTAGACGCGACCTATAAGACTTCTTTTAATACCTTATATATATATTCGGCAACGTATAAGAGCGGGAGAAGGCGTAAGATAGGCTATAGACCTTTAAGTAGAGAGATAGATAAACCTTTAGCGAATTCTTTCCTAATTTTAAAGAGACGCTCTTATAAGTAGCGGGGACTATAGTATAAGAAGATAGCGCGAAGCTTATATAGCTATAGAATTCGATTACGCTAGCCCTATAAGAGCTACTTATCCTTATAATTATACCTACTAACTATAGCGAGTATATAGGCCGGTTAATAAAGGTAGCTTAGGGCTATAAATAGACGCCGCGTTTCTAGAAGCTTTATAAGCGTATACTATATAGCGGCGACGGGATTACCGCCCTTTTATAAGATAAATAACTAGCTATCGATATAGATAGGGATACCTTAATATTAGCTACCTATATAGACCGGGCTAGATATAGTAAGAAGACGCCGTCGACTACCCCTTATACCGCCCTATACTTTAAGTAGTAGGTAAAGTAGGTAATAAGTAAGGAAATCGGGAAGAAGAAGGCTAACGGCCGCTACCTATATTACGGAGTATCTATATACTTTATATTAAAATGCCCCTTCCTTTTAGCTAAGCGGCCTATAGCGGTTTAAATAGTAAGGACGGAACTACTCTTTGCCTTAGACGATAAGGAGGACTCCGCCCCCCTAGGCCTAGAGGAAAAAAAGTAGCTCTAGAGTAAAAACGGGCTCCGGAGCCTTAATTACTAGTACTAGTAAGGGAGAAGGAGGAATTATCCGCCTATATAAAAGAGGAGCTTACTTTAATATAGGTTATAATTAATAACTCCTTACTTATTACTACCTTTATAGATAAGGGCTACTAGTACTACGCTATAGTTAACGAGGCGCTTATACGAGAGATATAAGTGCTAGTAGAAAAGATCGCCTTAAGGTAAGTAAAGGGCGCCTTAAGTATAATAGAGGGTATAATAATTAAGGGTATTATATAGTTAGCTATAGAGGTTAACGGTTACTATAAGCTTATCGTAGCCTATATAATCCCTTAACTAGAATTTCCCTTAATCCTTAGGAAACCCTAGTTATTATATATAGAGTTATACTTAGTTCTATACTAAAGGAAGCTATAGTTTAGGCCTATATAATAATAGGTTTACTATAACGACGGTTCTATAAGCGTAGGACTAAGCGTACGAGCTTTATACTTAGTATAAGAAGTCCTTACCTCTATCTTTATAGGAACCTTATAATAGGTAAAGTAAGGGCAAGGCCGGGTAGCGGCTAATATAGCGGTCTATATAGTTAGCCTAGCGGATATCGATAAGGCCCTTTAAATAAAGAAGCTAAAGTCGCCCTCTAAGCTATAGTAGTAGATATTATTATTATTATTAAGATTATACTAGTAACCTATCTAGAGGTATCTAGAACTTCGACGTTAAATAGGAGGGAAAAACTAAAGTACTTAGAGGAAAACCCTCCCTTCTTTCGTAGCTAGTCTGCCCTTATACTAGGTCGCGGTTATAATACGTAGGAATCTTACGCCGGCTATCTTAGGTATCGTTATAGTTAGTCGGAATCGTATTAGCCCCGCTATAAAGTAACCTTAGAAAGTAACTCCTTTATATACGTAGGGTATATAGCATTAATCGGTAGTACGAGCGTTTTTTAGTTAACGGTTAATAGTTAATTATATAATTATCTCTAACCTTATCTTATAACGATATCTTCTTAGGCTCTGCCTTATTTTTCCGCCGTAAGGCTTAGCGGGCTATTTTTTTATTAATGCTAGCCTTTAGCCGGGCCGGTAGTCGGGTTATCGCACTAGCTTCGCGCTATACTTATCGAGTTACTAGTATCGGCCCTAGGTTTTTATTTTCCCGGTTAGGGGGCCCGGACCGGGGTTAGGGGGAGGTCCTAACGAATTCGTCGCTAGGTCCGGGTAAGCGAAGTCCGGGCCGGCCTACTTATAGTAGGGCTAGACTACTAGTATATTTATAAGCGCTTTTAAAAGCGCTAATTAGCTA